TTGGGGTTTTGTTTTTTTTTTTTTTTTTTTTTTTTTTTTTTTTTGCTTCTTCTATTCTTTATTTCCCCTCTTGATACTTGGAGCTGATCAGCCATCTATTGATTGGTAACGTCGCAAAATGCCTTGAACAAATTATACTTGCTCGCTTGGCGCCGCGGGAATACCTCAAATGATGATGATGCCCCTACAGCAGCCAGCCAGCCCAGCCTCACTGCATGTCATCCATCGTCAATAGTGCAAGCCCATTCACTGATTGATGAACCCGTCGACGACCCGTTGCGGTCTGCCCGGGTTACTCGTCACAAAAGAGTATATTGGCGTATTATTACTGCGGCGTCGCCCGTTGGCAACTTGTCTGCATGCTGCTGCCTGCTGCTGTGGCGCACGCCCATCTCAACGTCTAGACCCGGCCGGCTGCTGGAGGCTCCGAGGTCAATCTTGCTTTCCTTGCCTTGTATCTTCTTCTTTGAGGAATCTTGTCCATCCAGGGTCAGGGTCTAGACTACCAGTAGTTACTCTCCCATCTATGTGCAGCCATGCTTGCCAGCCAGCCTTGTCCCTTGTCCGCCCGCGACTACCACCAACATGGGTCAAAAACGGTACATCTCCGAGCTCCGGGGCTCACCATTTCGGCCGGATCGACTTGTTTCTCCCCAAGTTCACCATCATCATTCCTTAGCTATCCGTAGTCGCCACTGATCAAGGTCGATTTCCGCATATCCATGCACACAGCTCCAACTCCAACTCCAACTCCAACCACCCCCCCTCCTCCGCGCATCTGTTCCGCGACCTACTCAACAGGGTTCCGGTTCCATATGCAAGCAAGCAAGCAAGCAAGCAAGCAAGCAAGCAAGCAAGCAAGCAAGCAAGCAGGTAGGCAGGCAGGCAGGCAACCTCTTCTTGTCTTGCACAAGTTCCCAATACGTTGTACCACTCACTCACTGGGCCGCTCATGTACTCCGTGCGTCTTGTGTCTTGTCCGACACGCCGGGGGTCTCTTCCTCCTCCCCATCCTCACTCACACACATCTCTCCCCCTTTGAGTAAACCCGTCCGGGAGGCGCGCTGCACGCCACACTGCACTTTCCACATGTCTCTCTCTTTTCTCTCTCTCCTCTACCAGTAGTTCTGCCTCCCCCTGCCCGCCCCCACGCTGTCGCCGGCGCCGAATTGCATCGGATGTGTGCGTCGTGGTGGCCGCGTCACTCGTCGTGGGTGTCGCCAGACCCTGGCTTCTTTCAGCTTCTTATTGGTCATTATCCGGAGAACCTGGCCACCGGATCAGGAACGGGGGTGATGACTGTGATGAGGTGACAAAAAAGCCCCTTCTCGGTGTAACGTCCTTCCGAGGCTGTTCTTCTTCTTCTTCTTCTTCTTCTTCTTCTTCTTCTTCTTCCTCTTCTTCTTCTCTTCTTGGTCCAATCCTTTCCCTGTTGGGCGGTCACGGAGTTCGGGACGCGATGTTGCGGAATGTGTTCCGTTCACATCCAAACGCATCGGCAATCGACAATCACATTCCAGGTGATCGGTCTCGCCCCATCTCCAGCGATCCATCACTCTTATTATAATTAAACTACGGGACTAGAGGAACTCAAGTCACACCCGAAAGTGCTGAGGCGACAACGTAGATGCCACTTTCCAGCAGCTCATCAAGCACGATGCCGTTTGTTGTCCCCCTCAAGCGCGCAAGTCACGGCGCCAACGAACTCCCCCAAGTAACCGATTTGCCATTGCTGGCACAGGTTTTTTTTTTTTTTTGCCTACAGGTTGTCCGTACCTGTTCACCAGCCACATTGTCAACATTCATCCAAGAAAGTGATGAGATTGTTTCAGTTCTCTTCCGCGACAGGTACACACACCCCTTTTCCCAGAATCGCGGAATCCCCGTTGTCTCATTCCTCTCTTGCCGTCATCGTGCGTCCTCTCTTTTGTCGCAGGCAAGCCACGCCGTAAAAGAAAGAAAAAAAAAAACGGAAAAAAGGCCCAAGACACGGAACTGCGCACCTGATCACGGGCCTGCGTCGTCACACAAACTAAAAAGTTTGCTCGACTTTCAGCGAACGAGCGAGAGAACCCCTACCCGAGGGGTCGTCATCAAAGACCTCTGCCAAGCCGACCGCCCATGACGCCTGCCAGGGGACATGAAGTGGTCAACCTTTGTACATAGTATCCTCTGCATCCGGACTGTTGGGCTCTCGTGGCTTGGTGATGGCCGAGACATGTCTTTATTCCCGTCACACGTCGAGATGCCGCAACTTTGGACCAGGGAATAAACCCCGAACATGAAGCAGCAAAGTCTAAACATAGTCGCAGCATACGTAAACATGTTTATTAATCCAGAAATAAAACATCCCCGCATGTCGCTTGGGGTCAGTAAGACGTCCACGCTTTCATGTTATGCCTGCGTGTTGGGACGCTCGGTATCTGACCGGGGTCATGGACAAGCCCAATTCACCAGGGTATTTGCGTCCAAAGATTAAATACGCAATAGAAGCTTGACATTGGAAAATTGAAAGTGAATGTATTGAAATCCCCAGCATGCATACCATACCAGTGCTATCCATCCCAAGCGATGCCATTCATTCTTGTCCGTCCCCCAATGCCTTGAACCAAGAATCCTCATTTTTATTCTACATGTACATTGGAGGACACTTCATCTATATGCCCCTCCTCTAGTATCCCCCCCCCCCTCTCTCTCTCTTAAAAGTCAAACTCGGAGCGAAACACGTCCGGATCCACGCCCGGCACCGTCTTCTCCGCCAGGTCCCTCCGGCCCATCTGCGTAAACACCCTCCGCAGGGTATCGTACAGCGTGCTGCTCCTGTTCTGCGCCGACATCCTGTCCAGCGTCTCGTCCACCTGCGCCGCGCTGCCCTCACCCAGGATCTCGTACGCCTTGCTGCGCCCAGACTTCTCGATCGACTTGTGCATCTCCAGCGCCGCCAGGAAGTGGCACGCCGCCTCCTGGTGGCAGCTAATGTTGATGCAGCTGACGCCCAGGTTGTAGCGCGCCCGCACAAAGTTGGGCGACAGCGACAGCGCCTGCTCGTACGCGGCAATCGCCTCCTCGGAGCGCCCGCTGTTGGCGAGCGTCGCGCCGAGACGGTTCCAGAGCAGGTGCAGCTGCTCCTGCTGGTTTGTCGTGCCCAGCTCCGACGAGTGCAGCGCCGACTGGAAGCAGTCCACCGCCTTGTCGTACTCCTCGGCCCCGTAGAAGAGCACGCCCAGCCCAACCTGCACGTCCGGGTCCATGTGCTCCCCGTCCGGGCTCAGCTGCGCTGCCCGGATGAACAGCTCCGTCACCTTCTCGTGAAGGATCTGCCGGTCCGTGAAGCCCATGTCCGCCGGTGGGTGGATATCCTTGGGATCTAGGATCGTCGGGTACTTGACCGACAGCCACCGCTCCAGCGTCCGATATGCCGTGCTGTCGTAGCCCTCGTTGGTATAAGACACCGCCAGCCCCATCAGCGCGTCTAGGTTGTTGGGGTCGTGCTTGAGCGCCTGCTCCAGCGCCCGGATCGCCGCCGTCTCCTTTTCGTTTTGCGCCTGTGCCGACCCCAGGTACACCCATGCCTCGACGTGCTCCGGATTCTGTTGCACCGCGGCCTCGAACGCCAACGCTGCCAGGGACAGGTTGCCACCCTCCTTCATGACGCGCACACCCTCCTCAAAGGCGTTCTTCTCGTCCTTGAAAAAGTTCTCCTGCTCAAACATGTAGTTCTCGACGACGGGGTCGCCGAAGCGGCCCCAGTCTCCGAGGCCTTGGAGATCGGGTATCATATCGTTCGTCCACTCGGTATCGAATTGGTCGAATAGAGATTCATCTTGAACCATGGACCTAGCAGCAGCTGTCTCAGCTTGTATTCCTCGCCAAAGGGATTCGAAGTCACCGAACTCATTTGTTTCGGACTGGATCGCCCGGTCCATCTCATCCAGCTCGCGCTCGGCGGCGCTGGCTTCCTCGTTCTCCTTGGCCTTTTCGGCGGCCTCGGTCTGGTCCTCCAGCTCGAGCTGGGCAAACTGCTCCTCCCACTTGCTGTCGTCGAGCTCCACGAGCTTGCCCTTACCCTTGATATCTTGCGGTTGCTGCTGCTGCTGGTTGCGCATCTGCTGTTGTTGCTGGTACATGGGCATCATGGAACCGCCCATGCCGTACCCCATGCCCATGCCCATGCCCATACCCATACCGCCGCTCATCATGGGGCGCTGCATCTGGCTGCCCGACATGTTGGCCTGCATCGGACTGGATCGGGCGGAGGAGCCTTGGCCGTTCATGTTGAAGCGGGCAAACTCTTCTGCGCTGAAGTGAGCATTGCTGGGCGGCTTGAACGCCGACTCCATGCCGGGCTGGCTGTTAAAGTCGTGTGCCCACGTCGGTGACGTAGAGCTGGCGCGCATAGGGGCATGTTGGACGGGGTTCATGGCAGGACCCTGCATGGGGAATTCTTGCTGGATATTGGGTCCGGCATTGAGGAAGCCGTTCATCATCTAGAGACCGAATCACGGAACGATTAGTAATGTCACAAGCCTGTAGGTGGTATGGGTGGGCGGGTGCGTGTCGTACCTCATCTTGGGGAGCGTTGGCGCTCTGGCTGCGGAACCCATTTAGTTGGCCACCGGGCCCGCGACCAACGAGGCGATCGCGTTGTAGTGTCTTGTCATCTTGGACGTGCTTCTGGAACTGGCTGAGAGGGTTGGCTGAGGATGAGCACTCGGCGCCACCCATAAACGACATGATGGCGGGGGGAAGGGACTGAAATATCTCGCAGGGCGGGGTGGCAAACAAGAACGGTAAGAGGATTTCTGTGTCGTCGCTGGTGTTTGGCGATGGCGTGGTTTGTCGGATTCACAGGATGGAAACAAAAGATGCATAAAGGAAAATGACAGAAGATGGGGAGAATCAGAGGTTGGGGTACTACGTAAGGACGGAACAGGTGAAAGTTGCTAGGTAGGCTAACGCTTGTGGCTCGGCCTGGACGTGGGGAATCTTACCGAGGCAGGCCGGTGTCCGGCCCGTCCATTTGGCAGTGACAAAAGGCGGGTGAAGCGGGCTTTCTGATTATGAAGCATCGGAGTTGGGCAGTCCACGTGACTGCGGGGAACGGCCTTTACCGATTGCCTACTTGTGCCTACCTGAGATTGTCGGAGGTGCCCACTGCAGATTAGCGCAAATCTGATTATCGATAAGACATTTTTTCTCCAACTGGAAAAAATCCCAGAGGCTTGTCGATGAGTTTGTTGAATAGAACCCACGCAGCCAACATCGAAAACAGTGCGCCACCAAGATGCTTCGTCAAGTGTAAGAACTACCGCCTGCTCATCCCGAATAATTGACATGGACTAAGAGTCATTCCCTCAGAAAACCCCGCAATGCCCGCTCCAAGCGCGCCATGGCCGCCCGCGAACCCAAGGCCATCGAGAACCCCAAGACGTGCCTGGTGCTGCGCGGCGGCAACTGCTCGCAGATTGTTCAGGACGCGCTCAACGACTTGTACTCGATGCACCAGCCGCACGCCAAGAAGTTCTCCAAGAAGAACCACATTCACCCGTTCGAGGACGCCACCTCGCTCGAGTTCTTCTCCGAGAAGAACGACGCCAGCATGCTGCTCTTCGGCAGCAGCCAGAAGAAGCGCCCGCATGCCATCACCCTCGTCCGCACCTTCGGCTACAAGCTGCTCGACATGCTCGAGCTGCACCTCGACCCCGAGACCTTCCGCGCCATGTCGCAGTTCAAGAACAAGAAGTTCTCCATCGGCCTGCGGCCCATGCTGCTCTTCGCCGGCACCGCTTTCGAGAGCCCCGTCGCCAACGAGTACACGCTCGCCAAGAGCTTCCTGACCGACTTCTTCAAGGGCGAGCCCGCCGACAAGATTGACGTCGAGGGCCTGCAGTACATTGTCAGCTTCGCCGTCGAGGAGTCGTCCTCCAACGGCGAGGTCGAGGCGGCCAAGCCCCAGATCCACATGCGCGTCTACCTCATCCGCACCCGCCGCAGCGGCCAGCGGCTGCCCCGCGTCGAGGTCGACGAGATCGGCCCGCGCATGGACTTTCGCGTCGGCCGCATGCGCGTGCCCGACGAGGCCATGCTCAAGGAGGCCATGAAGACGCCGCGCGGCCTCGAGGAGCGCGCCAAGAAGAACATCTCCACCGACACCATCGGCGACAAGCTCGGCCGCATCCACATCGGCAAGCAGGACCTCGGCACCATGCAGACGAGGAAGATGAAGGGTCTCAAGCGCAGCAGGCTCGACGACGAGGAGGTGGGCGTCGAAGATGTGGCGGAGGAGGAGGCCGCCAAGCGCTCCAAGCAATAAATGTCTACCTAGCTTCGGATGAAGGCCAGAACATGGGGGGAAAAGTCACAAGATATCTGTCAGACGTTGTTTTTTCAACGTTGTGCATCATGGGATTGGCGTTACTTGGTGTATCGGGGCATTTAATTCATTACTTAGAGTAGTCATGACCAAGTCATGTTTCTCATGCAATCAAGTTCCCTACGTAGGTAGCGATTTATCCGTGAAATGTTGTTTATAGATATGGCAACTAGCAAACCAGACAACCAAAATGGGTAATGGTTTGTTGATGTCTTGCCTATTCCACGTCGCATCACACACCTCCGCAGAAATGTGAAGGAAGCTTTCTATGGGGTAGGAGTCACCTCAACGGTAACCATGCCGAAACTCTTCAAAATTCAGTGTCTAGCTAGCGCCTAGTCGAATGTCATGCAGCTTTCTAATTTTCTCAGCTACCCGATCAGGGTTGCTTAAATCAACCAGCGACCAGCTGCCGCCGCGAAAGACTTTGAGAATAATGCACACCACGAAGAAGACAATTTGCTACCGCCTCGTCAGAAGACAGTGATTGGACGTGACGCATTGAAGACGACGTACCAGGAGAAACGTGGATAGAAACGGGGTCGGATGGAACTTTTTCCAGAGCAGCGCGCTGTTGGCCACGACCAGGACGAAGAGGCAGCCGGCGAGCGCCATGTAGCCGAGAAATGGCTGCATGTGGCTTCGATACGGGTAGTCGCGGTAATGTCTCTGGTCCCAGCGGCGGACCTGGGAGAGCTCCCACCTCTCGAGCGCCTCGCGATGTTTATAGATGCTGCGAGTTTTCGTCAGTCAGATGGGGCTCCCTCTAGCAGTCAGTCGAACATACCAATGATAGTACCGGATAAAGGCCCAGCACTCAAAGGCCCAGACAATGATGACGGAGGCAGTGGACATGGTGGCAAGGATCTCGATGAACATGGAGATGTTGGCCGACTCGCCGTGCAGCTGGAGGAAGGGCACCCAGCAAAAGGATAGCGCGGAGAGGATCATGGCGCGCATGGGGACGCGGTGACGGTTCGTCTTGCCGAACCAGGCGAGTAGCCGCAGCGGCCAGGGCTGGCTGGGCGCGTCGTCGAGGCGGGCGACGAGGCCAAAGAGCGCGCGGGAGGCGACGTAGAGGTTTGTGCCGGCGCAGGTGAGCGCGGTGAAGACGAGGAAGTTGTTGAAGACGTGGTCAAGCGGGGAGAGGCCGGCCTCGATGGCGATGGCGACGAAGGCCGAGGTGGTGGTGCCGGAGGAAGAGGATGACGATGGGTTAGTGGTGATGCCGTCGCACTTTTCGTTGGCGACCCAGCTGAGACGCGGCAGGCGGCAGTCGTCGCGGCGGATGTTGAAGGAGGCGAGCACGCCGGCAAGCACGTAGGCGATGGTGGCTAGTACGGGGATGTAGACGGAGGAGAAGCGGACCGTCTCCCCAATGAGCAGCTCCTCGTGTGAGCGCTCGCTGAGGTCCGAGTTGGTGCGCAAGTTGCCGTTGGGCCAGCGCGCCTCGAGGGCCGAGGCGGCAACGACCTCGACGCCGACGTAGGCGAAGCTGGCGATTGAAATGGACATGCTGGAGAGAGTCAGTAGAAGGAGCGGATATTGGGGTGAGGAGTGGCTTTGTGTATGTCTGCTTACGCGAGGCTGTTGAACCAGCTACTGGCTGCGTTGTGGTCGTATTCGATGGGATGGTCCCAAACTAGAAATGTCAGAGATGTATGTAAGTTGACTGTGGAAGAAAGCGAGGCGTCCTACATCCGGCTCCGATGATTTGGTGGGTAGTGCCAGCTATGATCATCTCGTCAGCAATGACCCTGTCAGAGAGGGAGGGAAGCAGCAGCCTACCGCCAACGTTGATGGCTACCATGCAGCAAATGACGACCAACAGAAACACCACTTTGATACTACTGCTGATCACCTCGAACCATCCGTATATCTGTGCAGCACTCATTAGCAAACCTCTGTCCCGTTTCGACAAGACACCTACATCCATCCCAACTCACATCAATCCTGAAGCAGTTTAGGAAGACCAGGAAGCACGGGATCAGGAAGTACAGCACGGCGCCGTCAAACGCCTTGTTTTCCGGCTTCCAGTAGTGGATCTCGGCGGCCGAGGTGGCCACGAGCGCTGCGAACGAGGCCGCGTAGGTGAACCAGTAGGTAATGCCGATGGCGATGCCGAGCTCCGGGTCGACGAACTCGCTGACGTAGACGGACAGTGCGCCGGGAATGGGCCAGATGCACAGCATTTCGGTGATGCACTGCATGACGGCCCAGGCGAGCACACCGGGCAGCAGGAAGGCGAGCAGCGTCGAGAGCGGCCCGCCGAGCTGGAGGATCTGCCCACCGCGCCAGTACATGCCGGTGCCGAGGGTGGCGTTGACAGCGATCATCTACGGAACGGCACGCATGCTGTGTTAGTCTCGGGGGAGGGCTGGCCGTGGACTGGGTGACTCACAGATAGATGGATGCCGCGCAGACGCCGGTGCACGAGCCGGTCCTGGCTCGGGGTGACGACGATGCGCCGCTCCCGCCGCCGGACCACTGGCTTGGGCGGTTCGTCGCTCGGTTGGGCCAGAGCGTGGGAGGAGTGGTCTGTCGTCATGGATCGGGAGTCCAGGGGAAGCGAGCCGGTCACATCCCAGCTGCTGCGCGTGCTTGGGTGCGAGGCGGCGCCGCGCGAGGGGTCCCGGCTAGGACTCAGTCTGGCCGTGTCAGGGTTCAACCGCTGCGAGGGGTTTACGTGGTCGTCGTCGCTCCGATTGGTAGGCCTCCCATCTTCACGGCCTCGTGGCTCGTGTATGCTGGGCAGCGGGCGGAGCGCGATATCGCCACCATGGCTGTGGTCATCTCGCAACTCGTCGAGCATAGGCTCCGGTGAATTCGGCCACTGAGAAGTCATTGCGGCGACAGTGTCACTTGCTGATCATCTTGGGTTGGCTACGAAAGGCAGTGAGAAGCAGAGGTCAAGTCTGTGGACGAATGGGAAGAGATTTGTTAGAGACGGGGAAGAGATTTGGACAGAGACGAATGGGAAGAGATATCGAGGGTTTTCCAGGTGAATCTTATCTACGGATATTATGCCGTCTGCAATGCTCGAGGAGGGAGGGACGACGTGCCAAGCGGCAAGGCCGCTTGATGACCTCGGATCTCAACGAGGCTGTACTGGTACGTACCTTGGTCTATCTCAGCTTCAACTCTTGCGCCGACCATTGGATGGAAAAGTTTGCAAAAGGCGCAAGGCGAGTTCGTTTGACCTTGCGAACTGAATTAGAACCGGAACAATGAAAATAGCTCGCAATGCCTTGCATAGGTAGGTGATCGACGGCGACTGGCCTGCCTCGCTGCGCCCAGCAAGGATCGTACATTTCAGCTGGCCAGCGCCACCCAGTCCAGCCGCAGATTATTTGCTGCAGCTTGCCTTTTTTGGCCGCCTTGTCTCTTGCTGGCTGTCGGCGTATTCCCCTTGTTTGTCCATCTCGCCACATTCGTGCAGACGGCGGACGGCCAAGCAGACGAGCTGCTCTCCAGGCAGCCAAGTTGGAGCTGGCAAGATGCAGACGCAGAAGAGGGGGAAAATCAGGCCCAAGAGAGAAATTTGGCGATAAACTGTCACCGGTCGACGGATCAAAAGCGACGTCTTTGCGAGAGGGCGCACTTTTGAACTGAACATCTCATCCTGTCGAATGCAAGTTTGGCCAACGAAGACTACGCCATCATGGACCAGCAAGTCTGCCAAAACGCATGCGCGAGATACCTGAAGAAGACAAGCCTCCAGTCGCTACTGGAGAGCTTGTTCCCCCCACAGACTGAATTCAATATTCGGGTAATAAGGATTCCTCCCCCCTAACGGGCGGGGGCTACCTGGGGACGACCAGAGATGGGATGAGAACTGACTCGGAGAATAGATGAGAAATGACCAGTGGACGTTTACCGCCCCACGAACATTATTGACAGTACGTGCTTGTAGTTGTGAATCCTTTGCCAGATTTTCGGGCAATTTTCCCAGGCTGACGAATCTAGCATGAGATTGAGTACGACGACGCACCACCAGCGGAGGAGACCTTTGCGTTTTGATACTTGCTAACAACGGGCTGATAGCGCCGTCCGAGATGATTGACGACGGAAACTCTTGCAAAAAACGGGAAGTCGCACCGGGCTTTGGCATCAAAGCGGGAATGCTGTCCAGATCATCCTGTGGGCTGTCAGGCTTTGCGAGGCTAGGTGGCTATGCTCTGTCAGTCTTTCAGTCTGTCTCAAAGGGCACCCCGCGAGGCAGACCACCAAGTGAGACGGCCATTCCGTACAGGAGGGTGAGTGAGGGGAGACCAGCGCGGACTGAGGAGGACAAGGGGTTAAAGCCTTTTTCGCTTTTTTTGTTGAATCGTGACATACCGCTGTAGTACATTGCCCTGTACAAGAATTCCATTTTGCCTCTGTTGGCATTTCTTCATTGCATATAAAATCCGATCCAGCATCACCCTGCTGCTTTAGTTTTTCCTACCCAACTCACCTCCGACTTCACCCGTCTATACTTACCTCATGGAATCGTCTAACCCAGAGACCTGCTGCGTCAACAGCGTCAGAGATCCCGTCCAGGTGCTGACCCTGGCGGCTGCGCCATCGTCCTCGTCGCAACAGGCGTCCAGTGACCTCCAACTCTTCCGCGACGGCCCTAGCCTCGACGAGTATCTCAACAGCGCCAAGGGCCTGGATTATACCTGCCGGTTCATGTTAGTTTAGCCCTAGGTACCTGGCTGCTCAGCCTAAGACGCCCACGCTCACCTCCCTCATCAGCTCCATCTGCCAGCGGAACTCCTGGCAGCCGCTGCAAGTGACGAGGTCCATGCTCGCTCTCATCATCGACAAGCACGGCTTTACTCCCAATCTCCGCAATCTCACCTCTTGTTACTACACCAAGAACAATGACTTGGAGGAGTCATATTGTACCCCATGCACTGTCTCGACAGACGGGCCATGGCTCGGTAGGTTGTCTCGATGCGCGATCCTTACCACTTCTAACGACCACATAGAAGTCTTGTACTCCATCCGCTACCCCGAGTTCAAAGAGAGCGAGAAAAAATGGGCGATCCGCCAGACAGGCATTTGCCATCGCATCAACACTGAGACGCGCCAGAACATCCTCCTCCTTCTCACTCCCACCCCCAAGTCCAGCTCCCATGACGCCCTCTACGAGCACTTGACAAACCCCAGCAACCAGTACACCAACAATACCTGGTTCTCGCTGCACGATGTTCTGTTGAAAACTCATCTCTCTGCCTGGCGTTCCTTTAACAAGGCTTGCGAGGCTGAGTTCCTCCCTATTGTATGCGACGAAAGCCTTTCACCAGCATCATCCCCGAGCTGACCGTTTTCCAGTCCAACAACACCTTCGCCGCATACATCGATGAACCTCTCCGAGTTGGATATGACCAGCTCAGCGCATTGTCCAGCCTCGAGGCGCGCTTCCTCAAAGTCACCAGCCTCGTTGGCAGCACCGCCACGCTCCTCGACGACCTCCAGGAGCTGCTCCGCGCCGCGCCCGACGTCGTCAGCGACCACCGCCGCCAGAGCGCGCTTGCCGGCAGCCTGCAGAACCATCGCCGACACTGTGCCGCCTACCTCCGGAGTGCCGCATATCTCAGGGACAGGGTGCAGGCGGCGGCCCAACTGCTGGCCAACACGCAGTCGTTTCGCGACCAGGTGATTGCCAACGAGCAGAACGGCAACATGATGCAGCTCAACAGGAGCGCCGTCTTCATCACCACCTTGACCCTCATATATGCGCCGGCTTCCTTTGTCGGGGTAAGTAAAACGACAGCGAACGATTCTGGCCCAAGCTTCAACTAATGATGACGACGCAGACATTTTTCGGAATGAACTTTTTTGCCATGGACCAGCCTAGCAGTAGGATCATCTGCACAGCCATGATTTGGATATACGTCCTCACCACCCTGGCCTTGACTATGGTGACAGTCATCTTCTACTACTGGCTGCTGCGCCACGACGGCGTCCTGTTTGGCCGCCTCGCACCCAAAATCCCAGTCAACGCGGACTGGAAGGGCTTCGTCCGGCGTTTTACGAAACTTGACAATTCTGTTGAAATGACGTCACATCGACCTTGATGTTGTGGTTTTGGGGGGTTAGTTAATCTTGATGTTGTTTGCTTTCTCGGACCAATCTTGATGCTGTACGGTTTCTCGGGTCAATCTTGATGTTGCTATCATTTTTCGGGCCTGTTTTCTCTCTTTCATTTCTCTTCTCACGATAATTTCATTTCTCCCTTTTGTTTCTTAATTAGACGTAAAATATGGCGTAACTATCATCACTGCCCCTGTCGAGGAATGGTTATCTTGTGAATGGCGCGCCGACTTGCTCCAGTCAGAGAGGCAACGATGATGAGGGTCTTGTCGGTCGACTCGACAGCCACGGCCACGACATCATCGCCCACGAAGAGATCGGGAATTTTTACAAGCTCGCGCACGTCCAGTGTCGGCGAGAGGCGCACCTCCACGAGCATCATATTCTGCTTGGAAGAGACGTTTCCAATGGCAAATAGTTTGCCCGTTGGTCCGCTGTTGAAGAGCTTCGCGATGCGGTAGTGCGCAATGTCTCGCTGATTTTCAGCACGGACGATGTCAGGCTCGTCAAACTTTTGCAAGTGGAAGCGCTTGCCGCGAGTCACGATTGCACACGTGTCTCTGTCATTCACAACACAAAATGTGGTAAAGAAGCCTGACGTGGAACTTCCATCAAATCCCTTTTGCATTGGTTAGAGGGAAGGGGTTGTTCAAGTCTCTTCTTGGAGTCAGGGTACTTACAAGGGACACGATATTGAGGGTATCTACTGTCGGGCGGGCTGGAACCACAGACTGATCCCTCCAGATGTGGGCGACGGGAATCTTGTGCTCACGAGTCCGTGCCGTCAACGCAGGCCGCACGACAACATAGGCGTCATCAGCATCCGACACGGATAGGTGCTCAATGTCTGCTGCCGGCCAATCAAGCTCAATGGAATTATTCAGCAGTCCGTGAGAGCTAGAGATTCCCACAGTTTGTTGTGAATTGGGGTCGCTGCTTTCTGGCAGATTTCTGAAAGCCGTTAATTGTTACCCTATTTGTAGCAGAAGCCACCCCACCAAGACGTACCTCAGCTCTTGCCGTATTAAGGCAATCAGGCCAGGCAGGCTGGTATAGACTAGCGTTCCTGGTCCACGCATTTTTGACTCGTCCCTCATGACGAAAGCGAGCGTCTTGTTGTTTGGCGAAATCGCAAGGCTTCGAATTGCCAAACCGTCGAGAGAGACGCGGTAAACGGTGGTCAGGTTTAGGTCGACGTGTAGGCCACCCTCCAAGTCGAATACGTAGAGCTTAAGTCATGGACATTAGTGAGTCATTGGGTCTCAAACGAAGAAGCGCACTCTTACAAAATTCTTGCCCGTCGTCGACGCGACGAGATATCTGTTAGTCAAGCATATGCTTTGCAAAAAGCAGCATTCCTCGTTGGGCAAGTTCCACTCGCTAGGGAGCGTGCTGGCGTGTTCTTCGGTGAGGGAGAGCGACTCAGATGTGTAGAAGACAATCTTGCTGTTGGTACAGTACGCGAGGCAGTTTGCGTTTGGCGATATCGCAAGGCCCTTGAAGTCGTCCGAGGAGGAGAGACGGCGACTAATCAGTCTGGCGGCAGACGGAGACTTGATCCTATGGCAGCCAATGTTAGTCGAAACCAAGTATATGGAAGAAAGTAGCTTCATCGACCTACTTTGAAAGTGCGAGTTTTTGCTTTTGCTCCTGGATAAAGTTCTCCAATCCTGCGGCCATGGTAGACGGAGGCGCGTCATTATTGATGGCATCCTGCAGCATCCTATACGTTGTCTCCAGCTCCAGCTTGACCGCCCCTGCGTTGCACCGCTCGCTCTCCTTGATCCGTAGCACCTCGTCCTGCAGAAACGTAAGCACGCGTGCCAGCGCCTTCCGCTCTCCGACGCAGGTGTGAGGCACCGCGGCGACCAGCCGGTCATGCCAGGCCTTGACCACTGGATGCATCTTGTGGGGCTTCATTACCTCTGCGCTGCGCAAGAAGAAGCGGTCTGAGCCGTCGGCGCGGCGGTGCGCCTCGCGCGCGTACCCGTAATCGGTAACGCCCTCCGCGCCGCCGCCGAGGTATGCAAATACGACGCTCAACACGCAGCCAAGCGACCAAACGTCGGCGTCCGTCCGCATGCGGGGCTCGGCCGCGATACTCTCCGGTGCCTGCCAGGTGCCCTCGCCACGCCTGTTGATGGTTGCCGGCTGCGACGGGTCCTGCATCGGCTTGCGGCGCTGGAAGAGGCTTGTGAAGTCTCTCTCGGGGGGGCTGCTGGGATTTCGGGTGCGCATCTTGACGCGCGCCATGCCGAAGTCGCTCAGCTTCCACACGTTACGGCCGTTCTCCTGAAAGATTAGCACGTTCTGGGGTTTCAGGTCCATGTGGTAGCACACGAGCTCCTCAAGCTCATCGGTCCGCATGCCGCTGTGTAGGTAGTTCAGACCGCTCGCGAGGCCAGCCGCCGAGTAGACCACGTCAGCCCTATCCTTGAGCCCCTGCGGCGCGTTGCGTTGCTGCTCCATCATGAACGTGTGCAGGTCGCAGATGGCGAGAGGCATGAATAGGCTGTAGCTCTTTTCGATCTGCAGGGAGCCCCAACTTTGCACGATGTTGTGCTCGCGCTTCTGCATGTTAGAGCTAAGTATCGTCTTCATGATTGCGTACTCCTCGCGCGCCTGGTTCACGTCCTTGATGATGTAATCCTTGCGCGCCATGTCCTGCGGTCGGCCGTTGTACGCCTTAGCCGCCTCGGCAAAGGCATCAAAGAAGTGGTTCTTGGCAACCTTGACGTAGTACACGTGGCCAAAGGCGCCCTCGCCACGACCATCCTCGGCGAGGTACGGCAGCCGCTGGCAGCTTGCGTCCTGCACCACGACTTCCTCGCGGTTGCGCAACACGACGGCACAGAAGCACGCCTGGTGGCTGAAGAACTTGTCGGTCTCAATTTCGTCCCCAAACAGATTGTTGAGCTGCGTCCGAGTCAGCGGAAGCAGGCTCCCGAGCTTCCGCTCGTCGACGGGGAAGAAGGGCCACGCATCGGCGGCGACGAGCCGGTGCAGCGCGGCGTTAGCCGCGCCGAGGCCGCAGGTCGCGAAGACGAGGGTGCCCCAGAAGTTGAAGAGCTTCCGCGCCCCGACTCGACGGACAAACTCATCCTCGGACAAGGTCGTCCCGCCACCTGACACTGGCTGACCGCCGGTCGGTTCGAGACAGCGAAATAGTCGCCTTAGAAGAGCGTGATTGTCGTGTTGAAGCAGGAGTTTGATGGCGCTGCGGGGTGCAAATCTTAAGTTGGGTTCATTTTTCCTCTCTAGCTTGTCGAAAATCGCTCCGTATATTAGCTTGCACGTTTCGTCGTATGAAGATGCCATGCCACGCAAGAATCGGGGGGGGGGAGGTTGGTTGGAGACGGAGGCGCGACAGGTTACTGTTTCTGGGCAAGATCTTGGCGTTTATGTTTCCTCGCACTTTGCTTTACGAGGGAGAGGTATGATTTCGGGACAGAACTTTGCTGTAGAGCTTGTTGTGGTGATATCAGGAGAGGCCGCCAGGAATCGTTCACCAACATTGGAAGGGTGAACTGCGAGGCCGCCCGTGCAGGCACCGTCAGCCTGACACCACCACAGCGCGAGCAAAGTGGCATGGCTGAGACCTGGATGCCTGTTGCTGACTATGGGAGTGATGGAAAATCTGCGGCTGAATAAACCTGCCACAGTTGTGATGTTTTAACGAAAGGCATGGGCTTTGGCCTTGAGGCGCACGCGACCGGTCTCTTGCATATACGAAGTACTGGGTTGGGTCCAGGAAATTTTCTTGCAATAACGATGATAATGATGATGATGATGATGAGGTTTTTCGTGATGTTGATTGCTCTTGACTAATCTCTAATTCTGGCCCGTTTGCTGTGCATGAATGGGCCAGTATGGAGTAGTTGGGAGCAGTCAGGACCGAGTGGAAGCTAAAAAGCGGGGATTATTGTAGCTTAGACCAATGAAAGCTCACTATTCTCCACCAATTCTTGCAGGGCTCAAGAGATGACTTGCAGCAGGCTTTGCTTTGGGATGAAGCCACTCTTTGCAAACAACTCGGGCGACAAGCCATCCCATGTCAAAAATTGTCCTGGCAAGGGCCCCCGGTGATTGATTGCCCGCTCGGATCATGAGCGGAATCTCGGTATCTGTTCCTCAACATACGATTACCCAGATGGGCCCTGTCAGAGTGACAGGTCATGGAGCCATTACCAAAGCCCGTTTAACTGACTAACTAGTGCAGGAGTTGAGTTGACAGCCAGGCACGGGTCCAAGCGGGAACGGAACGACGGCCTGTAGCGACGAACGGCGGGTTGCGAGTTGATCTGGGAAGAGATGCATTGGCATACAAAGTATAACCGTACCCCTTGACACATGCGACCACCTACATGCACCCCGCAAAGGAGCCCGACGGTCTGCCCATTCCCCATCACTCCGTTCTGTGAACAGACGGACCAAGCTGCTTGGCTGTGTGTGCATTGACACTGCTTCCATGCAACGATGCCACTCAGGCCCCGTGTTTAAAGTTATCCATCTTCACCAGAATTTGGCGGTGACTACCCCACGCCGTTGCATCTTTGATGGGGATGGTGGCCTTGCGCACTGCAGTCAGTCCGTACTGTTCTGTACTGGCTATCCGCTGTCCGCCGAGGGTGTACTCTGTAGCTACAGCTCTCAAGTCTAGAGCTATCCTACCTATGTAGGTAGCTAGCTAACTAGTTGAACCAACTAACAAAACTAACCAAAACTAACAAAACTAACTACATGTGCCGCGGGCCAGGCCTCGGAACTGGACGGCTACCGCTGCCAAGTACATAGCCTAAATCAAGTTCTTAGCGAGTCATGGACTGCCAACTGTGACCGCGTTGTGTGGGATGCGTGTCTGAGACTTTCCCAACTAGACAACTGACAGCTGGGCAAGGCCAAGCTGTCAACCTATTTTCCCCAAGCCTCGGCCGGGATGGGGCTTTCCGTGCCTCTTGGCAACCCGAGTTGGTTGATTCCGCCGAGGCTCCCCTTGCTTCGACCCCCCTTGCCGACACATCACCACGGCCTGTCAGTTGAGACTCGAGAGCTTGTTGATTGACTGCTGTGTGTTGTCCAACGGAGAAGCCGGAGAGACAAGTCTTGACAAGGAAATCCTTGTTCACCGCGCGCCCCTAACTAACTAACTAGCCCAACCCCTGAAGCCAAGACACAGCCCAATAGACTGCTGGTGCGCAAAGACAACTCCATAGGGCGCTGATCCTCTCGATGTCGGCACTTGGCAACTAACCCCAACGAAAACCGGAGCTTTATTTAGTAAGAAATTCAACCTAATAACCTAACTAACTACTCGTAGTTATAACCTTTCAACTGGGGAAACAGTGCGCAGTGTCCGCCGGAGACAAATACACATCATGTCTCACTAGTTGTGTGGAGCTGCCCAGCAAATGTTGTCTTCATTTTAGAGTTTTAACTTGCTGTTTCCCCCGTCGTTATTATTTCTCTTCTTTGTTGCTATTCTCTTGTACAATAATCTGTGTCGCGAGTTTCCAACCTTTGCTCTCACACAGCGCCGCCTTCGTCTTCCACCTGCAGCCGCATCATGTAAAGCCGCCCGTCTTCCACATCTCCCCGACTTTTGCCCGCCTTGTCTCGGAGAACGCGACAACATGACGGCGAACCGCGGCAACGAGTTGCTAGGGGTCAACATTGCCTTTTTCATCTTGGCGTCTTGCACAGTCTTGATGCGATGCTACACCCGCGTCTTCATCTCCAAATGCTTCGGGCTCGACGACTGGCTCATGGCCCTCTCTTGTGTATGTTACGCGGCCCCCTTGCCCCTGGGAGTGCGATCATGGTAATATCGCGGCATGCTGACCTTTTGGCAGGTCTTCTTCCTGGGTTATGTGATTTGTTCCAACATGGGAGTCCACTACGGGACGGGCCAGCACCGCGATGACTTGACCCCCGAAAACTATGTCACTGCGAAGAGAGTAAGTGTCGTCAAGACTCGCAAGCTTGGACGGCAAAGAAGCTCACGAGTCCTAGTTTTGGTTCATCTGCTACGTCTTCTTCGGCCTTACCATGATGACGGCAAAGCTGTCGTTCGGTTGGCTTTTGCTGCGCATAGTCTGCGTCAAGGAGCATAAATGGATCATCTACTTCACCTCGTTCTGCGTTGTCGTCGCCGGAAGTGCCTACTTTTTTGTCACCGTGTTCCAGTGCCAGCCAATCGCGCATTACTGGAACGACACCATCTCTGGCCACTGCATCCCCATACACATCTACGTCGCGTTGGCATACCTATACAGTGCCGTCAGCGTCGCGACTGACCTAATTTTTGCGCTGCTGCCAGCTTTCATCATCTGGCATCTACAAATTCGCTCCGATATTCGATATGTGTTGATTTTCTTGATGGGGTTGGGCTGCGTGTAAGTTGTCTCGTCGCCGTTACAGACTTGTTGCTGACGCGGCCATCGACGCTAGGGCGAGCATTGCCGTACTCGTGCGTGTAGCCTACATGCATACGTTTTACGATCCCGATTTCCTATGTAAGATGTTTAAGTGTCATTCATTCATGCATTGAGGGCTTGAGGGCTGACCCGGATCCGCAGGGGCGACCACGGATATTGCCATCTGGTCAACCATTGAGATGGGACTGGCTCTCAGCGCGGCCAGCTGCTCGACCCTGCGACCGCTGGCACGGACGCTGGGCTTCAATATCGGCTTCACCGACTACGGCTCGGCGGGCAGCGAGGACGCGCACCACGAGCTGCGCCGGGCGTCGCAGCCGGCGGCCAACCGGCGACGGAGCGGGCTGGGCGCCGGCGTGTTCAACGCGTCTGGGACATCGCAGGATACGCTCAACGCAAGCCACACGCGCGACAAGTCAAGCAGCTCACAAACGGACGGGAACTACGTCGTGTCGACCTCTGGTGGTGTAAACGAGCTCTCCGAGGCCGACCTTGAGCGGGCTAGAGACGTTTCAAATCCGTCGCGAGTAGAAGGGGCGATGGATTACAGCACATCGAGAACTTCGGAGAGCAAAAACCTATCCAGGCATATTACCGCGGAACTGGGACCTTGATTAATGATTTTTGCATTATTGCATTATTTATACCCATTGTCATGACTGGCATTTTGATTTCATCTTGGCATATACTTACCCTGGAGGGAAGAGGTGTTAGCCCAACACACCGCACGATATATACGTGTTGGATAATAAAAGTTTTTGTTTTTCATTTCACATCATGGCAGGAGTGGATAGCTCATAAATCACAATTTTTGACGAACGCATAAGATATTTCAATGCCTGCATTGCGGTGCCAAGCCTGGGGTTATTCGGTTCTTGCGGACCAACATGTTTGGAAGTGGCGGGGCAGAGTGGCATCATGGTTCTTGGCCGATCGATGCGTTTCCTCCGTTTGAAACATTTACGTCCATCGCCGCTCGTTGACGCCGAACAACCTTGCATCATATCATCGCCGTCTATATCACATATGACGATAAATGGAGAGTTCAAGAGAATGATGCAGCTTTTTTTTTTTTACTTACCCGCAGCGTGATTCACCGCCAAGTAGCTTGCCAGCCGTTGGCAGTGACTTCACCAACCCCGTTTACCGTTTGGCGACATTCCCGCGACTCATGACGAGCCCACCACCTTCGCCACTGTTGGTTGCATCGTACGCTCTCACCAGCAGCGCTACCTGCCGATTTTGGTTATCTGGGAAGAACTTGCCGAACGATGGATGCCTCTCCACCTAGAAAGAACTTTGGATCGGGATCAGCACGACCAGGCCGGCCCAGCGGCCTTCGTCACCGTTACCGATCGCTCGCTGGGACAAGGTCGACACCGGTTACTGTCGGTGGCACCGCGAAAGTTTCATTCCACAGTTGCAGAGTCCAGCATGCATCATCTAGTCGGCTGCCTTTACGTCATGCTTGAACAAAAAGCACAAAGTAACTTGGTAGAAAGAGGCTGGCAGCACTGTACTAACATATGACGCTACTGACCAACACTGCGAGACTTGACTGACTGTTGCAGGTTGTAGATGACGTTTTGGGGAGATTGAAACAAAGAAGAGCAGCTTCGTGCGTCCACTCCACCATAAAGGCCAGCTTTGCACGATAGTTACAGGGTGACGGTCGGTAACAGTAACGGCCATTCAGGTTCTTGTGCAACGACCGAGTTACGGACTGTGGCGAGGGAGAAAATGCGACAACGGAGGAAAACGGTCGGCAAACGGTTGACACAGGAAAGCCACAACGACCCCGCAAGTTTTACACACCTGCTCAGTTGATCAACAGTTTCGAGTCAGTTTTTTATTGTACTCGAATGGGTTGCATCCACGTTCAAGCCACACTCAGGAGGACAAAAGAACGAGAGAAACAAAAGAAGCGCAGGAAAAAAAAGACGCTGTGGTCCCTTGCAGGCGGCCGATTATGGTGGTGTGGATGTGGCCGCCCTCAACGACCCTCACCCTCACCCCCCCTTCTCTCCACCTTCTCCATCGCGCGGGCTCTTTCTTCCCGTGCACCAGTAAGTCTTGTGACTTGCATGTCATGAAATTGTACTGAACTGACAATGAAGAATTGATGCAAGCGGGGTTAGAGGGCATATCTCACCACAGAAATACCCTGCAAACGTGAATGATATTTCGCAGAAAGCAGGTACAGCACAGGGATACAATACACAATTCCGGCCTGCAGCCTGAAAAGATGAAACATCGACACAGAGGGACGGCGCAGCGCCATTGGTCGGCGGCAACCGCCAACTGGCCAGCTAGCCAGCAAACCCCTGGTTTAAACCATACCGGGCTAGAATCGACAAAAAAGAACGGACCAGTCACAGGGAGAGAAGGACAGAGGGAGGCTATATTGGCGGGCGCTGGTACGGATTCTGAGGGGCATTTTTAGGCTCGAAATCGGACCCCATTCGCCTGCGGAATGCCCGATTCGTGATGACCATTGGCCGAGGTCGTGGCGGGAACCCGGCAAGGAATGTAGCCCTCGTCCTACAGGAGCGCGCAGCGCAGGGAGCCGCTCTTTGCAGATGGGGTGGTTCAACAAGCCATGCATGGTTTCACCGTCAGGGGTTCTTGCAGAGCCACAGACATGGAAAGACAAGGCAGAAAAGGAAAAAAAAAAAGAGACCAGCAGAAGGAAGCAGAGAGGTCAGAGGTCATGCTACCGCCGGCCAACGTGCCCATCCATCCATGATGGGGTCGGTCGTCCCCAGCTCAGGTCCCGCAGAGTCAGCCTGAACGCTCAAGGTAACCCGGTCCTGTCAGTGCAGTGAGCTCAACATATGTATATATTATCTTGCTGCCGCTCCCAAGCCTCTCGTCCCTTCTTTCTCTTCATCCACCACGGAACACTTCATTCCCTTTTTTACCCTTGCAGACGGCACTGGTGCCCGGTCCAAGATTCGTTTTCTTCACTCCCTCGATTCGACAGCATCCCATTCCTTCAACCCAACTATCCTCGCCTTGCGCAGGTCGCCCTCATTCCCTCCGATCTCGAGCTTGCTTTGCAGTGTTTCACACACTACCACCATCCTTTGCGTGACCGTCAGGCAACCAGACGAACCTCCGTCCCATTCCCATACAGACCGCAGTGCGGCTTCGACCTTCCTTTTCAACTCTCTACTTGAACAGCCTTCCCCCCCCCCTTCGCCAAGATGAAGACTTCTACTCCCGTGGCTCTTCTCAGCCTCATCAGCGGCATCGCGGCCCTCCCGTCCCTCAGGAGCGTCCATGTTCGGGACTGCAAGGCCGGTCACCTGGTCTGTCAAGGCCAGGCCCTCTTTGGCATTTGCAACCTGAACAGCAAGGCTATCTTCATGAGCGTCGCCGAGGGTACCAAGTGCGTCTGCTCTGGAAGCGACTGCACCATTGTTGCCGCGGCTGGCCCGGCTCAAGCCTCTCAGGGCCCTGCTCCGACTTCCCAGCCCGCTGCTGCTCCGACTTCCCAGTCCGCTGCTGCTCCGACTTCCCAGTCCGCTGCTGCTCCGACCTCCCAGCCCGCTGCTGCCCCGACCTCCCAGGCTGCGCCGCCTGCGACTCAACCCTCTTCGACGGCTGCGGCGCCGCCTGCTCAATCCTCCGCGCCGCCTGCTCCGTCTTCTGCCCCTGGTGGTGTCTTCCAGGAAACTTCTATTTCTACGCCGCCTGCCGCCACTCAGCCGGCTGCCACCGCTTCTCAGCCGGCAACTCCCGCCGGCACCGCCGGCGTCGATATTGGCCTCGGCAAGGGGTACTTGAAGGTCTTCCTCGGCACTGGCGCTGCCTCGTCCGGCTGGCCTGAAGAAGACCAGTGGGCTAGCTTTGACTCATTGTGGGCGGCCAACGAGGCCAATGTCCTCCCAATTGGGTGTGGCGCCTTCGGGCAGGCAAACGACTCTCCCCAGGAGATTGCTGACATCAAGGCGGCCATCCTGAGCGTCGCGGCGTCATCGGGCGTCGACTCGCGCTTCATCCTCGCCATCGTCATGCAGGAGTCTAACGGCTGCGTGCGCGTGCCCACGACCAACGGCGGCGTCCGTAACCCGGGCCTCATGCAGTCGCACGACGGCTCCCACACGTGTGACGGCGTCAACCCGTGCCCCAAGGAGACGATTCTGGGCATGATCCAGGACGGTGTCGAAGGCACCCCGGCGGGCGACGGCCTCAAGCAGCTCCTCGCCAAGGCTGGCGGCACCGGCGCGCAAACTTACTACAAGGCCGCGCGCATGTACAACTCGGGATCCATCGATGGCAGCGGCCTCCTGGAGGGAGGCGGCGCGACTCACTGCTACGCGAGCGACGTTGCAAACCGCCTCATTGGCTGGAGTGAGGGCGTCGGCGGCTGCCGCCTCTAAATGGCTGTACCTTTGTGTAAGCACAGAGACGTGGTGCCTAGGAATTGTTTCGTGGATGTACTTTTTTGGTTGTTTTGCTCTTCTCTTCTTCACTTCTATCCACTCCCTTCATTCTATTCACTCATTTTCCCTTTTTTTTTCTATCCTCTCGCTTATATAGAATATATGCTCGCACAATTTCAAGTGTTAGGCCGTTTGGCGCACAGGCGCTGTCGGAAAAATTTACACACGATTACACGAACAAAAACGCACGGGTCCTTTAGTGAAGCAAGCGCCTCGTATATGGCATGTTGGAAGGATGCAGGAAGACTGGATATGTCGTGCATCGTTGGAATGGAACTCGAAGAGTGAGACTTTCACGCGTGGGCCCTTTGTCCTGGGGCTCGCGTGCCGCCAGGGGGCTGGGGGACTTTTTTGGTGTGAGAATCACGGACCATTGTCTTACTCTTGAAAGTCTTGCTTTACGAAATATCCGTTACTTGATGTTTCTATTTGTGTAGTATGTAAATAGGGGGGCCACACGAGGGGAAGTTCTTTTTCACAGGCTCTTCTGTCGCACAAGTCTGATTGGATAGGGCCATCCCCTCAGCGACCTCTAATACTACTGCCAGGCAGTGCAACCCAGGCGATACCAGCAGCCATCGCACGGTATGTACGTCTTGCTGTGAAAAATCGCTCCCAGCCATCTATTTTTTTTCTTGGGCTCGCTTCTTCGCTTATTGACTCGTGCTACGTGGCCTCTGGCGGTGAGGCTGTTGAAGAAAGCTCAGAGTTGCGTCACTTGGCAGACTCTTTTGAAGTGAGCCAAGCACGGCTGGTTCAAAAATGAACAAACAACGTGCCCATCTGAGACAAAAAACAATCTTCAAGGAAACAAATCATTGGGGAAGCTCTTTCATCGATGCAAGGGGTGCCACACCTGCAGCTCTGCATCTCATGCGACCGCCCGCTACCAAATCAAGAGCTTGAGAGTGAAACTGCCCGAACAATGAGTGGCTGCATTATGCCATGGTAAAGAGCGAGTGTTTTTTCAGGCCGCCGTTGGGACGGCCGGATTACGGGCCTCGGGAGATTTAAGGATAGTCAATCAAAATGATGAAGCAGCGTAAAAAAAAAATAAAAGAAAAAAAAAGAGAGCGTTGTAGGATGACAAAAACGCGCCGCAAAGGTTCTGGACCTTGGGCAGCCTGCCCCCTCTTGGAGTCCTAATTTCGGACCTTGCCAGGAGGCCGCCAAGGCGGCTCTGTCCGGACCGACCAAGATTAAATGCATATATAATGGTAGGATGTTATAGGTAGTGCCCCCAGAGGCATTATAAGAATGTTTCCGAACGTCCTTGGCCATCCATCCATCGCCAAGGCCGCTGGCTTCCCACTGTAAATGATCGGACACAGGTGCGGCGCCGGCCCCAGAACGGGCGTCATGCGAAGGTGGGCGTCTGTCTACGCGAGGGCAGAGATACTTGGTAGCGCGGTGCTCCTCAAATCAGCGTCATGTATTTTAGATGACTGACTATACGTTTGAGAGCTTTGTGTACAAAGCCGACGACGGCCTCGGCGGCAGTGCGTGCGTTGGCCTTGTGCTTGAGTGCTACCAACAAGTGAGTAGCTCGCCATCAGGCTTCGGAAATTAATCACCTTTCGTGTGAGGGACGGTAATAAGACCAATAACTGCGCAGATATTTTAACGACAGCCAAGGATTGCGTTTATTAATTACAAGCGCTTTATCATCAGACGAAGCGTACATAATATGGGGTAAAGTGCCCCTTGGTTAAATTGAACAGAGCCCCAATTCTGCTGTCATTGTCATCCTTGACGTTTCAGCTAAAGACGGGTTCAGCAACAGTTGGCCGAGTACTTCTGGAATCCTTTCTATTCCCTAAATCTTCTTTTGCAATATCAGGGTTTTAATAACATGTCGAATAAGGGAGTGTATGAAACGGCCTTGGTACCCGAGTACCTTGGACCAGCCACGTCATTTCGTTATTTTGTTGTAAAAAAAAAAAAGAATTTAGAAAAGAGTTTCTCATACGAGTACAAAACAATAACTTTTATTTTATAATAGCAAACTCATTATTAGAAAGCAAATTAACTTAATGAGTGTAGTAATTATCTAATCGAAAGCACACATCCTAAGCAGTAAAATAGTAAGAGGAACAAACAAGGCAGACGGAACGACCAACACACGAAGCTCCACAAAAAGGCAAAACTCAGTAAAAAACGGAAAGGAAACGGAGACAGAGACAAGTCGAAACCAAGGAAAGCGTACAAGACAATACAACCACTAGCAATTTAACGCCAGAAAGTACCAATCCCAGAATTCAATCGGCCAGCCAATCAAGAAGGAGCGCGTGAGATGAGATACGTTACCTGTGTAATGGAGATGACATTCTTCACATGATAATGAGTGTGTGATTATAAGACGTAGAGGCGTCCGAGGAGCCTTGCAAAGGAGTGCTGAACAAGACGGTGGGTTCGTAGAGAGCGAGAGAATAAAACAGGAAACTGTTCAGGACGACCAGGAAGGGAGTGGAAGATGGCGCCAAAGTAAAAAGTTGAGAAACGAGAGACTGTTGTACACCCCAAACAGTGTAAGTGGTAGGTAGGCGGTAAGGACAGCGTGAGACGACCAGCGTGAAGCAATAAACCAGTGTGTGCGCCGGGCAACTTGAGTGCGCCAGGCACCATGATGAATCATAGCCAATGACGGCAAAAGCGAATGTTGCTCGTTTTGTAAAAGGAAGGGAGGTGCAGACTTTGTGCAGCTGCCCGCACTTGACGTGATGTCCCAGACACCGACGCGTATGCAATGGCTTGACAGAGACCAGCCAGGGTGGAAAACGCCTGCAAGTCTCGACAAGGTGTTTCTCGTGCAACCAGGCACCTAGATGGAAGCGCAAGGAAAATCGGTTACCAGCACCGCAGTTTCAACTTGCACGCGCGGGCACGGCGCGATTGTCGTACCCAACGTTGCAAAATCACGTCATGGTGCGACGTGTTGGTTTCTGTGAGGTGATGCCCAGCACCACGTTTGTGCAGTCGTATGTTGTTCAAAAAAGGAGTGTTTCAAAAAGTTGACAACGTTTATTTTCGATTTCGTTGCGTTTCATGTTTCAAGTTCGTTGAGGCTCTTTTGCCGTAAACTCCGGGCGATGCGCTCCCCGGCACGCCACCGGTAGGCCGGCTTCAGTGGTGGTGGCGAAGGTGGTTAGCCGCCGACATCTTGGAGATGGCGCGGCCGCGTCGCAGCTGGTGCAGGACGACGTTATGGGATTTGTGGGTGCTCAGAGGTATGGCGTGGGTTCCGGCGACGGCCAGCGCCAGGAACATGAGCGCGAAGAGGGAGGAAAACAGAGACATGCGCGACGTTGTGATGTCGTTGTCTGTCAAGAGAGGGGAGGAAGAGGAGGAAGATAAAGGGAAGGAGCAGAAGGACGAAAGGTGGGTGGAACTATGCGAGCATAGAGCCTATTGAGTAGGTCCTCAATGGATTGTATCTCTTTGTTGTAGGTTGTTGTTGTTGTTGTGGTTGATGCCGAAAAAGTTAGGAGAGGGCCTCAGTGAGTCTTTATACATGTTGAGATGCACCTTTTTTTTTTTTTTTTTTTTTTTTAAATCTGGGTCTACCAGCCTCCTCTAATGTTGACTCCCGTGATATATCATCTTTGACACTGCAATATGCCCGGCCGAGGTGGTCGGGGAGGCGGCTGCGACTGGAATGTTGGCGGCCGAGTCTCCATTGTTGGGCACACCAGCCTCGCGCAGCGATGGAATTCTGGGCAAATTCGGGGTCTGCATGACGTTTTTCTGTCGAGCCCTAAAAGCCTGAGGGAGGTGTTTTCCATAGCCAGCTGAACACCCTCCCATTGTTTCCTGAGACCTGGGTCGAGATTCGGCCTGTGAAGAATGCGCGGGTGCCGACCAGCCTCTTTGGCTTGCGCCAATCATGTCACCGATCGACTCATTACTCATTCGTGAGATATTATACAGCTAGTATATTTCAATTAATAGGATGGCTTGTTCGTCCAGGCAAAGCGTCATTGCGATTCCGTGTCAAGGCTGACTGGGCTCAGCCAACACATGCATGCTGCGTGGGGCAGAGCTGGGCACCGTCTGGAGGACAATCATCATAGATATCTGGTCCAAGATGTCGCATCCGGCCATCTCAATTCATTTCATGAAGCATTTCGTCACATTGTTCTCGTGAAAATGTTGCAGTGAAGCGTTGGTTGTCAAGGTTAAACGCGCTACAGTGGAAATCACTGGAAGTACCTATGTATATTGTACATATGTATATATGTACATATGTAGGCGCAGTGGACGTTTGTGGGGACTAAACAAGTCTGACCAATCACAAGCTGCCATGCTGGTTGGCACGTCTGTAACTGCGCTGAACTGGCTTCTAAAATCTTCTACTGCCACATCGTCCAACGTATTAAACAAACAGCCTGTCCTTTCAGAAAAGAGTCATACCCGCTGAACAGTTGCGTTTTCAACAGGTAAAAGTAGGAGGCAAATCCTCTCCGGAACTTTTGACTTGTCATTTTCATCCTTTTCTCACCGTTTTTACACCGCCCTTCTTTCCCTCGGACCGGTCAGTCTCTTGACCTATAACACCAGCCATCCTCTGCAATGGCATCACAATCACGGCTGCTGCGGCTGCCCGTGCTGCTGGCCCTCCTCCTGGGAATAGCCCTTCTGTTCCTTTCCCCGCTGGTCCTGGCAGATTCACAAGACGCTTTAGACAAGGATTCAACAAAACCTGATCTGATATGCCACACAAGCGACCCCGCTGACTGCTACCCGCGCATCTTTGTACCCACGGATGAGTTCCAAACGGTCCACGACGACCAGGAGATCCCCAAAGGTCTGCACGTGCAGCTCAACATCAACACAGGCGAGAAGCTGGCTAAGATATACGTGCCGGATGAACCCGTCGATCCCGCCCTCGAGGGCCTGCCGGTGGAGCGGGAAGTCATCAAGGTCGAGCCGGAGGCCCGTGACGACCCCATCGTCGCGCCGCCCAAGGGCGCACCGGCGTATGAGGCGGCCGGAAAGATCAAGGCCCCGCCGCACGAGAACGCCGGCTTTGTCAACGCCGTGAGGCTCCTCAAGGCCGACAAGGGTGAGGACGACCCTGCCTTTGACGCCTCGCTCGACGCCATGGAGGAGCTGGCGCACGACCTGCACTACGGCCTCCAGGTCGCCTCGGATCCGGAAATCATCAAGTCCCTCGTCTGCCACATGATCCAGGAGCCGCACCCCGGCACGGCTGCCGCTGTCGAGGGCCTGCCGCCTCGGGACCAGCAGGCGGCCACCATCCTCGCCGCCAGCCTGCGGAACAACCCGACCGCGCTGGCCGAGGTCAGCAAGCACTGGCCGGAGATTCTCAAGCACAAATGCCCGGGAGCCAAGGCACCGCTGGGGAGCGAGCTTTGGCGCTGCGTCGGGCCGCGGGACGACGACACGGCGCCTGCGCCTGCGTCCGCAAGCTCAATTAAGGCTCGGGTGGCCGCCGTCGACACCCTCATTAAGGACCACAAGATCCGGGACGACTTCGTGCGCGCCGGGCTAATGAACACGCTGACCCGCGTGCTGGCCCGCGAGGGACCGGAGTGGGCGGCGGCGCAGCGAAAGGCGGGCGTCCTGGCCCTCAACAACTTCCTCGACGAAGACGTGGGTGCCATCACCGGGCAGTGGCCCAAAGGACCCCGGCTGACGGACGAGAAGTGCGCTGAGGCGGGCACCCGCGCGCCGGAGGGCTGCTGGGACTATCACGTCGATCGCATCGTGAAGGCGAACAAGGCCGACAAGAGCCACTGGAGCAAAGATGTTCAGGCGCGGCTGGCGGCAGCGCGTAAGGCGAACCCGAATGTGCCTCAACATGTGGAGTTGTAGTGTACAGAACGCATAGATAGATCTTCCATAATAATTTCAAAAATTAATTCTAGAAAAGTGTCATCGTCTCACGCGGCGTCGGTGGCATGTTGTAAAAGGGTCGTCCTCTACGGTGGCAACTTGGTGGAGCATCTCTGGCACAACTAAAGATTTTATACTCCCCAACACATCATCAGCAACAGACGACAAACAACAACAACAACAACCCCCGAGCTGCATCATCCCTTGCAAATTCCTGCCCGAAAAATGGCATCCGCCGTCCCCGATGGCGTGGCCGTGAAGCCTCACAAGACCAAGGGCCGCGCCCTGCACACCACCAAGACCTTCCCCGCCGGCGCCGTCATCGCCGTCTTCACGCCGCTCCTCCTCCTGCCCTCCGTCTCGCACCTCACCACCGTATGCTCCTTTTGCCTGCGCGGCGACGGCAAGCCGCGGCCGTGCTCGCGCTGCCGCGCCGCCTACTACTGCGACGCGCGGTGCCAGGCGGCCGCGTGGTCCGGCGGCCATGATCTGGAGTGCTCCGCGCTGGTGCGCGCCGTCCCGTCGGCGTCCCGGAAGCGGCGCGAGATTCCCACGCCGGTGCGCGCTCTAGTGAAGGTGCTGCTGAGCCGCGGGCAGCAGGAGGAGGACCTGGGCAGGCGCATGGAGGGGCTGGAGGGGCACGTCGCGCGGAGGAGAAGCGAGCCGGGCTGGGCGGACATGGAGATGATGGCGATGGGAGGCTGCGCATTTGCAGGGTGGGAGACGAGCGAGGCGTCGGTGCGCCAAGCTGTTGAGATTCTATGCAAGGTATGCTCGTCTACGATGGAAGGGTCGGTGATGATGCTAATCTGCTGGTTGCAGCTGCAAACCAATGCGTTTCATAGATTTGACGCCGATCTAGGGCACGTCGGCATCTTCCTTGAGCCCACGCTGGCCATGGCCAACCACTCCTGCATCCCCAACGCGTTTGTTCAATTCGTAGGGAGGACCGCCGTCTTACGAGCAGAGTACCGCATACAAAGCGGCGACGAGATTGAAATCTCCTATATAGGTATTGCCTCTCTCACACGTCTTCCCCCCTCCATCATAACAAAGCCTTGCTAACATGTCCTTGCCAGACAACACGAGCTCGCTCGGAAAGCGAAAGGCCGCGCTGGCACCGTACAACTTTGAGTGCCGCTGCCGGCGATGCACGCAGGACCTGTGCGTTTACCAGGCCAGCGCGCACTACCGCGACTTCCGGCTCAACGACGACAGCATCCTCGGCGACGGGACCAAGCTACAGACGCACCCCGCCGTCAGCGCGCCGGACCTGCAGGCCACCGCCCGCGCCGCCGGGAACCTGCACTTCCAGCCCCCGCCCGTCGCGCTCCCCGAGCGGCGGGCCGCGCTGGAGCGGCAACTCTCCAGCTGCCGGGCGCTGGTGGCCGCGGGGCTCTGGGCGGTGACGCCACTGCCGCAGACGCTCGCGGAGCTGGCCATCTACCACGGCGAGGCGGGCGACTACGCGCGCGCGCTGGCGCTGGCAGCGCTGGCGGCGCGCGACTGCGACCCGTACCGCTTCCCGGCGCCGTTCCACCCCTCGCGCGCCAAGAACCTTTTCCTGCTGGCCAAGCTGCTGACCAACACGGCGGCGGACACGGCGCTGGCGGAGGAGCGTGACGGCGGCGGCAAGGCAGTGCAGGTCTCGGCGCGGGCGATGGAGACGGCAGAGGTCGGGCGGAGGCTGCGCGAGGCCCTCCGGGACGTCGACCAGGTGTCGCTCGCGCAGATGCTGCTGTTCATGGTGCTGGACACGGTCGCGTCGGGGCCGCAGCTGGCGGGCTGGGAGCTGGCGCAGCAGGCGCGCGAGGTGCTGGCGGGCATCGCGGAGCTGGACGGCCGCGACAAGGAGCTCAGCCTGATTGGTATGTGGCGCAAGGATCCAAATAGCGACAGGGCGCAGGCGTTTTTCGAGTATGGTGTCGGGCAGCAGGTTGATATACTCGCGGAATTGGGCCGGGATGTGCTCAAGGAGGATCATGGGCTGTAGGGCGAACTATGGAGGGGATTTAGCGAGTTGGACATGATGACATGATGAGTTTCTGGGGGTTGAAAAAATATTGACCATGACGAATATCGAAAGCAGAATAAATCTATAAATTTCAAATCCTAATTTAATAATAACGGTAAGTTGTTGTGAATAAATGCACATCACCAACTTTTGACTTTGAGATCTAGATAGAGTGGGGCGGATTAGCGGCACCGATTCAAAGCTTCACTTTTTTCTTTGTTTGCCATCTCCATCCATCATCATACAACGTCGATCGCACCAGAGTTCCCCATTGTCACCGTCACATGCCTCCTCCAATGTCATAGTATCCATCACATCAAACATCTGTAACTCATGGTCACTTATCTTCGAAATAAAATCCGACAAGTCAAAAGCGCCGCTCGCAGCCTCCTCGGCCTGTCTCTCGACGACAGTGCCACCGCAGCCATGGTCGACGCTGAGAGCAAAGCGACGCCAGCGGCAGCTGCAGCCGCTGTTGCCAATGCCGCTCCAAATACCACGACCGGCGACGACACAACGCAGACCAACAGTGAGCGCATCAGCCTGAAGCGCGCCAGCCCTCATGACGGACACGACGACGAGCCCGCCGCCGACGACAAGAAGAAGCCCAAGACCGACGACGCCGCGGATGGTGATGATGCCACGGCCGACGCGAACCCCAACGAGTGGCAGACGGTCAGCCGCTCGACCAAGAAGCAGAAGAAGATGCCGCGCCCGGGCAAGAACTACCCCGCCATCACCTTCTCGCCCAACGCCCGGCTGCAGTCGCGCATCGGCCTCAGCCACCTGCGCGACCTGGTGACGTACATCTTCGCCGACGGCACCGGCCCGCAGTGGTGCGCCGTCTCTCACCGCCCGGCTTTTCGCAAGATCGTTGCCGTCATGGTGCCCGGTCTCGAGGAGGCCATGTTCCGGCCTGGCACGGACCTGGCCACGTTCAACGACACGCGCGACGACGACCTGGACGGAGACAAGCAGCAGCAGAAAAAGACGCACGAGTCACCGGACGATTACTACCCTCGGCCGCTGGTGAGGGATGCGCTGCCGGAGGCGCTGCAGCCCTTTGCGGACATGTTTCCGCATCTGTGGCCGGTCAAGACGCCCGGCGATGATAGGCACGGCAAGATGCACTCCCCGATGGCGGCGTTCCTCGCCACACCGCTACCCAAGGACAAGTCCAAGGCAGCGGCTGCAAACGGCGCCGACGGTATCAAACCCGCTCGCGAGCCTTCCGGGTGGAAGAACGAGCGCACGCGCATCACGGAGTTCCTGGCCACCGCGCCGGAGCTCGCCGAGAACGGGTTCTTGGTGCACCCGGCGCTGCTGCCCGAGAGCACCGCCGCGCGGGACGCCTTCGTCCTGCCCGAGGGCTGGGTGCGGACGGCGGTCGAGCATCTCTCGGACGGCGAGGTCCCCGAGGCCGAGATCGAGCAGGGCAGCGTGACGGCCGGCCGCGCGGTGCTTGCCGTCGACTGCGAGATGTGTCTGACGGGCCCCGACGAGCTCGCACTCACGCGCATCAGCGTCGTCGACTGGTCCGGCTCCGTCGTCCTCGACGAGCTCGTCCGCCCCGCCAAGCCCATCACTGACTACCTCACGCGCTTCTCCGGCATCACCGAGGCCATGCTCGCGCCCGTCACCACCACACTCGCCGACGTCCAGGCGCGGCTCCTCGAGCTCCTCACCCCGCGCACCATCCTCGTCGGCCACTCCCTCGAGTCCGACACCAAGGCCCTGCAGCTCACCCACCCCTTCATCGTCGACACCTCACTGCTCTTCCCGCACCCGCGCGGCCCGCCCCTCAAGTCCTCGCTTAAGTGGCTCGCGGAGAAGTACCTCGGGCGGCGCATCCAGCGCGGCGGCGACGCCGGCCACGACTCGGTCGAGGACGCGCGCACCTGCCTCGACCTGGTCAAGCAAAAGTGCGAGCGCGGCCGCGCGTGGGGCGCGCACGACGCGCAGGGCGAGAACCTGTTCCGCCGGCTCGCGCGCGCCGGCACCGTGCTGCGCTGCGTCCGTGGCGACCCGGACGGCAAGGAGGTCCGCGGCGGCGGCGTCGACTTTGTCTGGGCGCGGCTGCGCGAGCTCGAGGCCCGGCAGGGCTGGTGGAACACGAACCGCGACGGCAGCGGCGGGCCACCTGAGGAGGAGGAAGGTGACGTGGAGGCCTGTGTGAGGCGGCTGACCGCCCGCGTGGCGCGGATACACGAGGCGCTGCCGCCGTGCACCGCCCTCATACTGTACAGCGGCTCGGGCGACCCGCGACGCATGGCGGCGCTGCAGGCGGTGCAGGCGCGGTGGCGCCGCGAGTACAACACGCCGGGCCGCAAGTGGGACGAGCTGAGCGTGCAGTGGACCGACGTCGAGGAGCAGGCGCTGAAGCGGGCGGTGCAAAAGGCGCGGTCCGGCATCGGCTTCATCACGGTCAAGTAGGGCACGAGGGGCGGTACGGGTTGAAGTTTCGAAGCAGAACAAAAAGATGAGACAAGAATGGGGGGCATGGGTGGTGGGCATGTTTGGACCACGGTTCCACGGAAAGGAAAGGAAGGAGAAAAAGATGAAGGAATCACGGCTGGATCTATTGGCATGGATATACCACGAGTGGTTGTGTGCTTGATTGAATGGATGCATATATGTGTAAATAGATGTACAAGTTCACGGCGAGAGAAAAGGTCAGGTTGAGATATAAATGATCGCTGTCTTCATGTCCATGACCAGTCTTGGCCCAGAGGCTTGCCCAGAATTATAGTCCAACCAAAGGAAAACCCATGTATTCAAATTTGAGTCTCTCGGGCGAGAGTCAAGATTACAAGAAACCTTGTAAAAATCAAATGTACATTTTGTGAAACAAAGCTTGTCGCTAAAATTCAATAAAAACCCATGCACGCGGGACCAATCCCTCCAACGTATTACCTTCACTCTATCGATGCACCTGTATGCTTTTGATGTCCGTATGTGTGTGGCTGTGTGTTGCTGTGTGTGTGTGTGTGTGTGTGTGTGTGTGTGTCAAGAAAGTCAAAAAGAGTTTAAGAAAAATTAAAGTCGAATTACTTGTGCATCTTCGGCACGCCATTCTCATCCACAAGTTCTGCTGAGCTGCTGTGCAGAGTAGCTCGAGGGTTCGTTGCGACTCTGCTAATCGAGTGCTGCGATACCATGCCGTAGCTGGCTGGCCGCTCAGTGTTTAGGTCGACGGTGGTAAATCCGTCACGAAAGTCCATCGAAGACATCGACGAGAGGCGTTTTTGGGATTTGGTCCGCTCAAAAGGCAGGTTCGGCAGCTTTGGCGCGTTCGACGAATGCGAAGCGATGCGCCTATGAGCCCGTTCAGATCCATCATCTCGGGCGTGTGAAGATGACCCGGCATCTTGTGAGTCCACGACGCTCAAGGCTGGCATGTGGTGGGGCGATATGTTAACTGAATCGCGCTTTGAGCTTTTTCGAGGAATATCAGGTGCATCGTAGTAAGTAGAGACCTGACCATCATCATCGTCTTCGTCATCGCTCGTCACGGGACTAATAGGTTCCCGCTCGCCAGGCCCGTGAGCCGCATCCTCATCGCCTGAGTCGTGGCCCTTGTCTCTTGCGCTGAGCAGCGTAGCGGTTGGCTTCGGGGCGCGGTTAGGCTGCAAGTTGTCATCTTCGTCTTCATCATCGATGGGACCCTTTCTCAGGACGCCAAGAGCGACGGGAATGCCTTCAGGCGGTGTCTCGTCGCCAAAGCCAGCATTGCGAGCCATGGCAGGAGGCATCCTCGAGCTGCGGACAACTTCAAACCCTTTGCTCTTGTCCTTGCTTTTGCCGCCCATGAAGTTGCGGAACCAGCCAGTTGCGGTGGCAATGGGGCCGGTGGGATCGGCGGGTCCAGTACCAAGCTTGCGCCCCAGGCTATCAGAGTTGAGCGCCGGGCCCCGGACACCATAGTAAAAGTCAACTTCACGCGTTGAATAATCCGGCCTGTTCGGTACAGCATTCAGGGCCGCCATGGTGGTGCCCGGCGGACCAAGTCCAGTTCCGGGTGCCACAGGCGTTGCCCCGCGCGAGATGTCAGCCGCAGCATCGCCAGGCTCGCCTGCAGCGCCCGGCGGTTGCAAAAGACCGGGCTGGTCAGGGGTGAAATGCCCCGTAACCGGCTCTTGCGGCAAGTTCTCGTTGGTCGACCGACGTCTCCGAGGTGGTCGGTAGTATGGGTCAGCGGCTTCGAGAGTGGCAATGGATGATTGATGGCCATGATGGGCGTGGCCAGATCGTGCGGCAGTATTAGGAGTGGCAAGGAAAGAGAAAGTGCTCGTCTCGCCAGGCGTGCCAGGTAGATACGAGGCCGGGCTGTCTGCAGGTCGGTGTGCGTTGGAGTAGACATCGACGCTATCAAGGACAGAGCTGCTGCGGTGCCTGTTTGCAGCCATGATAGTACCGAGGCTGCCTCCAGAACTGCTTCGAACTCGCCCATTAGCGGGCATGTAGCCTGCGCGGTTAGCCTTTTCGGTGTCAATCATGGCTGCAGTGGAGAGCTGGCTGATTCTTGACGGGATTGCGCGATGCGATTCACGCTTGTTGAGCTGCCTCACGCCGAAAATCTTGGAGAGGCCGCCTCTGGTAGAGCCGACAGTGCTGTCTCGGCCAGCACCCATCATGCGGGCAACGACTTCGAGAATGGTCCCTAGCGCGCTGACGAGGAAGCCGAAAACGAGTACACAGGCGTGTACGATGAGGATAGCGTAGCCGATCCAGCCCTTGGGCCCTTCACTGACACCAAGACCCGGCACAAAGGCAACCATGAGTAGGATGGTAATAAGCCGCAGGCAAGAAAAGACGGTGTGGTATGCGTTCATCGAGGTAGGCGACTGGAAGGGCTTCACAGCATTGAGGGTAAAGATCTGAATGACTTCGCAAATGGCGAGAATGACAATCTGGGCTAAGCCGCTCGGTTGAACGGCGCCGATGGCCAGACCACGGCAAAACTGCAACACAAGCGGGATAAAGGCAAAGGTGGCAGCCTCATCAGAGTACGTATTGTAGAGAGGACCAAAGCGAAGCACAGTAGGCAGGTCGTCAAACAGAACAGACTTGGGTCTCGTGGTGACAATCAAGTACAGCAAGTAGGCAGCGAAACCGATGAGAACAACCAAGGTCATGCACGCTAGGACAACACAATACACAGGGGCTGATTCGGCGATGACGAGCTGATAAGCAGAAAAGGCGACAATCGGCAATAGCATGTAGTTGTAGAGAATGCGAACGACGTTGCCGATGGAGAAGGGGATATTCTTGGCACGCAGATCCTCCTCTGCGGTCTTGGTCGAGCGGCGGTAAACCCATTGAATAAGAAAGCCAAACTGGACGACGATAAAGGCCGCGAGGATGATGACGCAGAGCCAAACCATCATGCCGGCCCAGATATCTTGGTCGTCAGCCATTCCAACGAGCTGGCTCATGTGTTGCATGCCGTACTTGTTGTCAAGGCTAGTGACGTAGATGCCATCGACAACATTGCGCCAGCCAGGCTTGTTAGTGACGAAGCTCTCATTGAACATGATGGTTGACCAAGCGGCCTGGCTGACAATGGGCTGGTAGAAGCCTGGGTAGCCGATGCTCAGAGCACCGGTGAGGACGGCAAACTGCATGTACTGCAGGCAGTCGCCAAAACCGGGGGTGACCAATCTTAACTGATCGGCATCGCGGCCGTAGTTGGAGGACCATTGGAAGATGTCGGTAGAGCCCCACGGACTGAAATTACCAGCAAAGATGACGGCGAAACCGCAGATGATGAGAATGACGAGAGGTAGGAACTTGATGACGTTGCGGTTAGGGCCGAGATCCGGTGTGATGATGGATGAGATGCAGCCAATGTTGGTGGCTCCCTCGTCGCCGTAGAGCAGGAGAAGAGTGGAGGAGAAGGAGGAGAAGGAGTACGAGGAGCCGAAGTCGTGGGTGAGGTTCATGGAGGGAAATGAGGAAAGGCTAGACGGAAGAGTAGTGAGGTTGTTGGGGAAGTCGCTAGACGCAAAGATTAGCAGGTAATTGGACGGGATGGGGGATGTTACATACATTGGTGATGTGTTGAAGTAAGGGCCTAGAGGGCATTGGCCGCCGATGAGTGCCTGTGAGCAGAAGAAGACGCGCTCATTAACCGGGCGATAGGTGAGGACGTCTACTCTGCGGTACAGGGTGGTGGCATTGGGGTGCGCAGCATTCGGGTTGGCGGTCTGGATAATCTTGCCATTCGTCTTGGCGTCGTCTTTCCAGTAAAGGCGGTTTGGGTCCTCGCGGAGGGTAGGCGGGGGATTCGAGGGATCCTGGGAGCCGGTGACGTTGCCCCAGACGGTGACTTCAAGCATATGCCTGGGGTCGGTGACATCGAATCTGGCATCGGCCCAGACGGGTTGCCATTCCAGCTTCTTAGCAGCAATGTACTTTTCGTCGAGGCAGTTGGTGAAAGGGACGCGAACGGCCGAGACGGGAACGGCAGCTAGCAGCAGCGCCATCAAGGCATAGACGAGCCAGGGAAAGGTCGTCATGGGTCCGTTTCGTTGCCGGCGCCGGGAGCGGGCGGGGCGGGTTGGCTGTGTGAAGATGTCGCGAGGCCACGGGCCCATGTGCGTCGTCGGAGATGGTTCGAGTGTGAGTGTGAGGGAGAGAAGGTGGCTGTCGGCACGAGCCAGTGTGTGGCGCCGGCAGGGCTGCATGTCTACCTGGTGCCGTTGACCAGACGAAGCATGTTGGTAAGCTGCGTGTGAATGAAGTGAGGTGGGCTCGAGCGAGGTTGAGCAAGGCGCATCAAAGCGCGGTTTTCGCATCATGTGTACGTATGGATCGGTAGTGGGATGTCGTCGCGAGCAGGCAGGCCGTGGAGCGAGCGAGCGGTCGGAATCCGGTAGGAAACGGCGACGACAAGGAACAAGAAAAAGAAAGAAAGAATTGGGGGCTGGGGTCAAAACAGACGCATCATCACAAATTGTCGATGAGGCTATTCCCTGCAGGCAAACGGCTGTCCGATTCGTTCGTATTGAGTTTTTGCAACGGCGGCCAGTAGAGAGGAAAAACGGGCGACGGATTCGGGATGGGGTGTAGGACGGGTGAGCAGCGGAGTACGGTAGAGAAGCGAAGAGATGGCGTAAAATAATAATTAGGCGGAATATATCTGCGAGCGAGGGTGTTGAAGAGCAATGAAATGCCAACGAAAGAGGCCAAGGGCGAAAGATGGTGATGGGAGAAGAGGAGGAGTAGGAATCAGGTAGGAAGAGAAAAGGCAGGCCTCGCTCTCGCGGGGAGCAAAAAGCGACCAGGAGGATGTGGCGGTGGTGCGGCGTGTGGTGGTGAGAGGCAACAGGGCCAGGGAACTAAGTTAGGCGATACAGGTAGTGTGGTACTGCTATTAGTGTGTTTTAGGTGGCCATGGTTTTTATTGTTGCTTTTTTGCTAGCACTCATCAGGCTTGCTGCGCTGGCGAAGAAGCTGGAAATGGAAAAAAAAAAAAAAAGTTGGCAGCGAGGGGCTAGTAGCATTATTATTAGTAGCAACAAGGGCGATGCACCAAGAAAGCCACCCGTAAACTCTCACCCAGTCGCCCGTATCTGGCCGATGCCAATTGAAGCCAAGTGCAAGTGTACGTACATACCTATTCACGAGCATGGCTGGTGATTTGCTCGCAAATACTCATCCCCACCGTAGCTGCCAGTACTTACAGTACATACATACATACATAGCTGCCTGGAGCTGCCCGTAGCTGCTCCGTAAAGGCCGTAGGGCGCCGCTAACCAAGCCCAAAGACGGGTACATCATGCGCTAGCCAACCTGCTCTTGCCCAGTATTTGTTTTGTTCCCAGGCGGAGAGATGAGCTCTGCTGGGGAGCCAAGCTTCTGGTTCAGGGGCCGGATAGGGTTTATCATCTGAATACTGCAGGAAATGAAATCACGGGTTCATTGTACCTGGGGTTTCTGCTACCATTTATTGCCGCGTGCATGGCTGTCAGATGCACGTTCATCTACATGTGCACACACATTGATTGGTTCAGCCACTGCAGATGGTTACAGGGGACTTGGGCGCACTGAGACAAGGATGTATGTACTGTAGGTACCCGAAGGCCCTAAAGGCACCTGTCGGTACACGACTGCCCATCACCAATCAGCCAGCCATCGCTCGCATCACATACATACATCATCACACAAGATATGCCGTCTTTAATAATAACAGATGCACTCGTTTCATTCATTTCCCTCCTCTGATTATCTGCCTCCCTGGCTGCTTCATGTCTCTCTCCCTCGTGCCACGCAAACATGCAGTGTCTGTGTCTGTGTCTCCGTCCCAAGTCGCACCTCCCAAGCCACATAGCCAGCATCGTTGTTCTCCCTTGTCCATTTGCATCGGCACATAACAAATCATCATGACGGAGACTTTCTATATTTATCAAAAGAAAATGAAAAGAGACAAGCCCACAGACAAGGGCATCGGCCCGTCACCGTGCTGGCTTTGAGCAAGGGGTCAGTCCTTTGCTGGGAGAAGCGCTGCTGCGCCGCAACACCAAGGCTCCGTGATGAGGCTGTGCAAATCTTCAGGACAAATGACAACGGGTTCGAGATAACTGCCACACATCCATCATACAAGATCAAACCCCCAGCATTACCAAACCAACGACTGCTATCCACCAACCCATCGTGCCATGTACGACCCCCCCTTCCACCCCTTGATTCAACCATATCTTTACTGTGTACTTTTCAGCTCATCCTCAGCCCACCAACCAAACTCAGCTTTGTTGTCCCTCCTACAGCCTCATCCCGTATTGTCTCCGCCTTTTGGACATGGACACCAATACGAATCATCCTTTCCTGACTTTGATCCTTATCATTTTTGACCACATCCATCATCGTCGTCTACACGTCCACGCGACCACCAGTTCCTTCTCTCTAGCGCCCCTTTCCGGCCCCAAGCACGAGATGTTATTATGCGCAGCGCTATTCAGGATAAGAGCACAGCACCCACCCGGGCTGTCGCGATTGAGACACTTGCAGTCAGAATTAGTTGTATATTACCAGGTCGACAACCGCTTAAGCATCCGGCCATTGAGGCTCATTGTAAATGCAAGACGTCCCTGCAAAAACCTTGGTTGACCTTTTGCTCCTCCTCAACACTTCAAGGCCCATTCAACAAGATCTAAAGCGTTTCCCGGGAGCCCAGGGAAGAAAGATACCACCAGCGGTACTTCTCTAGCTTCCATGCATTTCGATACTCATACCCGAGTTCGCCCATAGGCCGCAGCCAATCCGTCTCAAGTATAATCGACACCATCCTAGTTTACCTACTTCCAAGTGCCAATTCTGGCCCTCCGAGGACCGGTGCGAGATGCGTTGACCGGAGCCCAAACATCACTATAATCTTATCACCGGGAGGCTGGTCACGATATATAGGCTGCACTCTGACAATGTAGAGAGCTACTATTGTCGCCTCCGGGCCGGTATGCATGTATAAACCCATGGACTAGGTCCTGAATGCGCTTTTGCGTGCTATGATTTCGTCGAGCTGAGCACCTGCCCTGGGCAGTCGTGAGCAATAAAGTATGTTGGGTGTATATCGGAAGGTGCATAGCGCGATACAGAGGCGTACATGGGAGTCGCCTTCAGGGCACGCAATATGTCCGCGAAGAGTGTCTCGAACAGCGACCAGGCTGATACCAAGTGATCACTGGGGATGAAGCCGGCTGAAGGACAAAAGCCAAAGACACTACATTGAAGAGGTATTGATACTCTTGATAGAGAAGGTCAGAGGTTGCCATTGTCCACATCATACGGGCCATCTGCGACATCCATATCCGGCTGATAGAGAACTCAGTGAGTTTGCCACCCTTCAAGCACCTCACCAACGTTGCCACCAAGAAATATGTCTTCTTCAGCCGCGCCAGAGAAAATCAAGTCTGTAAGATATTCGGGTTGAAACCCATCATCTTTGCCAATCACGCTGTCTCTCCGCAAAGACCAGGCTCTGACATCGACCGTGTTGCCCCTCTGTATAGCAAATACTGTTACCAAGTGTACTATTCTTTCAGTAGAGTCGTACTCGTCAACATTATACCGCCTGAGGTTGAGATGAAAAGATTGTCATGGTGATAAAGTTGCGCAAGTTGGCGATGAGAGCGACCAGAAGCTGAGGGAGTGAGTGTAGTTTACAGTTGCTGATGAATCAACCACAGCTTCATCTCCCTCACCTTGATCAATATCATCAAGCTCAAGTTTGGTTTCTATCGAAGCTGTGCCCTTGCAGTCGGTGCAAAGTGCATCCTGGCCTCTGTTCAAGCATCAGCTTCCCCTCCCCTCCCTCCCAGTTCAGAGATCACTCGCCGACAGGGCACGAATTATAAACATGATAGCAACAGCAAACCCTTTGCCACCATCCGTCACAACGCGCGCCACGCGAGCCATGTTTATCTCCACTACCAAGTCTTTGGTTATACGGGAGGGGGGCCAAGCAAATACAGAAGAGTCAGCCCACCGCCAGAATACGAGAATTGGACACACCCGCTACTGCACGCCATCGCCGCTAACAGCCTTCTCGCCGGGATTGCCGAGGAAGCTTTCTGGTTTCTTGTTTATCAATAAAGAAAAGTGGCTCAGGGAACGGCCTTGCTGCTTGCCGTTCCCAGTGCTGTGGCGCTTGCTCTCGGGACATCCTCCAGCAAACACACGGCAATGCTAGCCATAGCTTGCCGACAAGCCGCTTCTCCGACGAAAGACGTGTTTCTCATGCCATGTCACATTCATGTAGCCTTCAGTACGAGCGGAAAGACTTACCCGGTAGTTCCTGACATACACGCTCTTCACCCACCACTGGCATCGACAAGTCTGAGAACACACCCATATGCATTCCCACAACAGTTGAATAGAAGCCAATAGATACATTTGTTTCATCACATCTAGCTACCAAATCGTAACAGCCCAGCCAGTTAGATCCCATCATAGCAAGCCCTCACAGTTCCCACGCACCTTTCACACCTGACACAACTGCTTCACCCGCGCCTCCAACCACATCGCATCCTGCCCCGTCAGGCAGCTCCCCAACCGCCCCAACGCCAGCGTCCCGCTGCGAATGTACGCGTCCATCTCCCTCTCCAGGTCCATCCACATGCGCACATCCGAGAAGCTGGCCTCGGCCGTCGCTACGCACCGCCAGGTGCCCATCCCGGCTGGCACGCTCTCCAGCGGCAGCGGGTTGTCCGACTGCTGATTCACTGACCACTGCATCCGCCGCGGCGGTGTTGCTGCGTGTCGTACGATCGCCGACCTGTCTGCCTCTTGACTCGCACCGCGTCGTCGCTTTGCTTGCGGCGGCGTGTCCGCGCTCTCCGCGACACTCGTATCGGACTCCGCCGCCAACGACTCCTGTAGTGCTCCGCCAGCTCGACCAACACGACGCCCCATCAAAGCCTGGCATGTTCCTTCTCCTTGGCGTGCAGTAGTGGCGTCTTCGGCATCATCCGCCTCTTCTTCCACCTGTTCGTATACTAGCTGCCGCGTCGGAACGGCTCGTTCCACAGTGGCGGCCTGCTGCCTCGTGCGTGGCAGCGGACGACCTTGTGGTCTCGGCGCGCCCATCGCGCTGCTGCCCCTCTCCGCGCGGTACGGCGCGGAGCTTATCGTACCGGGCAGGACCGCAGCGTGCCTCGTCGTCACCGGCCACTGTGCGGGCCGGCCCTGAGTCTCCTTGACCCGGGCACTGCCTTCCGGGCTGCTTCTCGAGCTTGCCGGCGACGGCTGCGCTACCACGCGCGAAGCGGGTACGAACGACCTCCGAGGCTCCTCGCGGATCGTCGTCGGATCAGACGACGGGGGTGGCGTGCGTAGGAGCGGCACCCGCGCGCGCTCAAGCAGCGGAGCTCCTCGCATTTGCGAACCTGGCGGTCCGGCCAAGCTGCTGCTGCTGCTGCTGCTGCTGCTGCCGCCGCCGCCGCCCCTGGTAGCGGTAAGGGGAACGCCAAGGTCTCGCTGCTGGTTGATGAGGTTCTGGATGCTCCAGCTGGTGCCGTGCAGGTCACTGAGTCGCGGGCCGTCGCCGTGGTTGGAGCCGTCTGATGGCATCGAGCCGTGGAAGCCGGCTAGGATGTTGAGGGTTGCGTCGGGCACGTCGCTCAGAGGCATCCGCTCCTGGAACGTCGTCCTATTCACGAGGGGGTCAGCCTCCTCCTCGTGCCTATCCTCTACCCTCGGTCGCTCTGGCGTCGCCGTGTCGTCAGTCGCAATTTCGAAATCGTCGACCGCGGCCGCAGCAGTCCGCTGAAAGTATCGCTCAATCCCGCGCATCGGCTTTGACATTCCGCCTTTGAAATAATTGGCCTTGCCGCTCGGTTGCATCTCTATTTCAACGTGCCGTCGTTCTGGAACCGTGACTTCGACGGTCTGAAAACCGGCCCCTTCATCTGTTGCGTTGCTGTTGGTGCGGTGCATGTTGACTCTGTACGCAGTTCGCATCTGCGTCGATACCAGCTTCTCCTCCGTGCTACTCGACATTGGCAACTCCTCCGTAGACGCTCCGCCAACATTCTCCCGTCCCATCGTGCCTTGTCCGGAGCTTCCCTGCGCTGCACTGGTTTTGCCGTAGACCTGCTCGCACATCTCCCCAAACGTCCGCAGCAGCGCATCCGCGTCCGCAAAGAGCACGTCGTCCTTCAACGTCGCGACATTGGCATCGTAGTCCGTAAACGGACAGAGAATCTCGAGCAGGAAGAGCGGCTTCTGCACCGTCGTCCTCGTCCGCAGCTGCAACTGCTGCATATTGGTCTTGAGCACGCCCGCGAGCGCCTTCCCGATGCCCGTCGTGGAGCACAGCGGCCGCCCGTTGACGGAGATGAACGCGCCCTTGCCCGCCAGCACCTTGTGGTCGCCCCCGACGCTCGGCAGGAACGCCAACAGCGTGCACGAGGACGCCGCCGCCGCGCTCGCGAATCGGTGCGTCTGGCCGGCGGCCGCGACCGCCGCACCAAACACCTCCAGGACCGACCGCTTCATGTCCCGGCCTCTCGTCTGCCCCAGCGTGCAAGCTTGCCTCTCATTCCCCAGCACCCTGAAGTTCACGCGCAGCGCCGGGTTCGCCAGCGCGTACGCCACCAGCAGCTCCCTGATCCTCGCCGTCGTCTTCCTGCCCTCCTTGAGCAGCATCCGCCTCCGCGGTGGCAGGTTCGCGAACAGCCCCTCCACCTCCACCGTCGTGCCCACTGGCGCCGACACCGTTCCCTGCCGTCCGCCTCCTCCTCCTCCCAACCGGACCCTGCAGGCCACGGGCTCCCCAGCTGTCCTGGTCACGACGTGCACGGAGGCGGAAATGCCGACGATGCTCGCGAGTGCCTGTCCGCGGAACCCGAGCGTGCGTACGCGGCCGGCGGCCAGCTCATCAAACGCGGCCAGCTTGCTGGTGTGCGCGGGCTGGCCGAGGTGGTCAATGTCGCTCGGCGCGATGCCCTGACCGTTGTCCCGCACGCGCAGCCGCTCCAGGGTGTCGGAGGAGACGGCAACCTCGACCGCGTCGGCGCCGGCGTCGATGGCGTTGTCTAGCAGCTCCTTGACCACGGCGGAAGGTGAGGTAATGCTGGCGGCCGAGCCTATGAGCCGGGCGGTCGCTGAGCTGAGCGGCACAATCGGCATCGCCTATTTTTTCTTCTTCTTTGAGATTTCAGACAAATCGATACAAGTTCCAAAGAAAATACATGTTGTAGGTAGGGTGTTTGTCCTGACGTTTTCCTTCATGGCACTGTCCGAAACGGGTTGCCTGCGCTTCCCGGTCTCGAACCCTGCCAGCTGGCAACGCATCTGGTTGCCAGCTGGCAAAGTTGCCGGACCGATCCGAAGCCGAGATGAAATCAAATCCCTGCTCAAACTCCAATGATTCCATCAAATCTAAATTTCACATATTAGATGTAGAGAACAGCCCTTCTTTTCCATGTAATTGCAAAATTTCAACTTTAGCTTACCAATGTTGACCAGCAGCTTACACACAGTCAGGTTAGAGTTAGACGACCGGAGCTTGTCTGTCTAGCTTCCCGCCCCTCGGCGGGGACGGACCCCTCCATCACGAGGCCCTTCAGAACCAAAGCTCGGCAAAACGCAACCCACTACCAGCAACGCTCTTCTTTTCCCCTTCCCTTGCACCTCTACCAATTCGCCTTGCAGCTTCGCGTGCCATCCCTCCGACAAGAGAAACACACCCAGCCGACCTTTTCTCCAGCAACCCTCTCACCATGTCGTCCCTCAAGGGCCCTACCCCCCAGCAGCACGCCGGCGCCGGCCTGCGCATCGGCATCGTCCACGCTCGCTGGAACGCCACCGTCATCGAGCCTCTCGTCGCCGGCGCCAAGGCCAAGCTCCTCGCCTGCGGCGTCAAGGAGAGCAACATCGTCGTGCAGTCCTGCCCTGGCTCCTGGGAGCTTCCCATCGCCGCTCAGCGGTCCGTCTCCTCTCCCCTCTCCCTTCCGGCAAAGCCCGCGCTCTCTCCAACTAACCCCCCAAAATCTAGCCTCTACGCTGCCTCCCAGGTTCAGTCCTCCTCCGCCGCGGGCGGCTCCTCCGCCGGCGACCTGCTCGCCTCCTCGACCGCCGACCTGTCCGCGACCACCCCGCCCCCGGCGGCGTTTGACGCCATCATCGCCGTCGGCGTGCTCATCAAGGGCGAGACCATGCACTTCGAGTACATCGCCGACGCCGTCTCGCAGGGGCTCATGCGCGTGCAGCTGGACACGGGCGTTCCGGTCATCTTTGGCGTGCTGACGGTGCTCACGGACGAGCAGGCGCTGTCCCGCGCCGGCGTCGACGGCAAGGGCCACAACCACGGCGAGGATTGGGGCCTCGCGGCGGTTGAGATGGGCGTCAAGCGCAACGAGTGGGCTAGCGGCAAGATTGAGGGCTAAATAGGATCGATACCGACGAAGAAATAAATGTTATACAAAATTTAGAAAAAAGAAATGACGGGGGAATACGGCACAGTTGATGGCAGATCTATCATGGAGAGACATTGTATCAATGGCACGTACGGACAGGCATTTATCAAGGAATCCACGTAGTAGTGGGATGAGATTCGAATTAATCCTATTACCACCTTGTTAAATATCTGCCACAAGTCTATCATGCAACATGAGATGCGATTTGCAAACATTCAAGCCAGAACCGCTAGCTCAATGTCTAAAGGAATATGAAAAAAGTAAGTCGCTTCCCAATAAATAATAAAAATTAATCCATTCTCCCAACGATCCTGTAAATGGCTGAACAACGGCATTATAAACCAAGAAGAAGGCGTGGTTTACATGGAAATAAAAGGTATCCCAAAAAGAAACATGAACATGACAGAAAAATAGGCTCAACGACTCTTGGTTCTGTGGGGTTTCCAAGCGCGTTGTTGACTTTTCGTCTTTTATATGCAAAAAAGCAGGCGCATTCAGTGAGTGTGCCAGTGGGTAGGCGGAATGTGACGGATGGCAGTGGCTTAGATACCGGCAAGCTGCTCGTTGGTGAGATCACCACTAATAGGCTTCTTTCTATGCCACAGACTTCGCTTCTTGTCACGCTTCGCTTTCATAGCTGCCCAGCCAGACTCCTCATCCTCGTCGTCGGATCCATCAGAGGTCTTCCGAGACACATTGAGGGACGAATGGCTTCTCTGGTCAGGGATGGCCAAGCCCGCTGATAGGCCGCCAGACATGGTAGCCGAAGTGGTGATGTGGTTGGGCTTGGAGGAAGGCGCGATCATTTGAGAGACAGGCCTGTAGCGGCCAGGTAGTCCGACATTGCTGCGTTCAGAGGGGGCGATGGACGGAGCATAGCCCATGCCGCCAGAGAGAGAGCCGTGAGTGGAACCTGCATAGCCAGAGTGGTGACCCATGAACTGTGATGGGGGCTGGACCATGCTCATAGTACGCATGTTGGGTTCGAAGCGATCCATCATGGGTGGCTCCATGCCCATGACCGACTGGCGAGACGACAGATTGCCCATGGACTGTGTTGCACCGAAGGGACCCTGCTGCTGTTGCATCTGGTAAGGGTTGTTGGGCATCTGTGGCATCTGTGGCATCTGTGGCATCTGTGACATCTGTGGCATCTGTGACATCTGTGGCATCTGTTGCATTGGTTGCATTTGAGGCATTTGCTGCATGCCTGGCGAGTTTTGCTGGTTTTGGTTCATCGCCATGATCTGCATGAACTGCATCTGCATCTGCATGAACTGCTGCATCTGCTGGGTCATTTGTTTTTGTGCCTGCTCTCCGGGGCTTGCTCCTGGCATCATTTGACCGGCCCCCATGCCGCTCATGCCACCCTGGCCATACATCATCTGGTGAGGAATACCAGCAGCAGGGTCAAAACCACCAGGTCCAGCTTGGGGGAACATATTCGGAGGTAACGGTCTGCTGGCATCAATGTTTGGGCTACCACGGCGCAGCGCTCTGGAGCGCTCTTCGTTGGCAATAACGCCAATCAGACCACCAGGGTGCAGCAAGCCACTGCTATTGCGGGAAGCTTCGTGAAAAGAAAGCGACTCTCGGACGGGAGGCCTGTGGATAGAAGCCCCAACAAAGGGGTCCTGCGGGAGGTTGCGGGCAAAGGCGGGAAGCATCGAGTTTCGTCGGTTGGCTGGGCCCGTCGAAGCGTCGCCCATGACAGACTGAGGGCGAGAGATGGGTGACTGGTAGGGGTTTCGGAGGTTCGGGTTGGAGCCGGATACATTCAACATAGTCGGGGGCCTGTTCTTAGCAGGAAACCCGTGTGCTTGAAGAATGGCAAGAGGCACTTCGTCATCCTCATCCTCGTCGGATACGCCGGAAACCGCGGGGTTCGTTGGGTTCTTCATCGTCATCGTCGAAAGCTGCGGCGCGCTCATGGTCGCCGGCAGGTTGGGACGGGCCGGGACGATGGTAGGGGCGGCGTGTTCTCCAGTAACCTTCATCATCTGCTGGCGGTAAACAGCCATGTGAGCCTCCTGCTTACGGCGCTGCTTCACTTGCTGTTTGGACTTCTCAGCCTCGTCTTCATCGTCATCGTAGTTGATTTCGTCCTCGTCGTCCTCGTCCTGCTTGGGAGCCGAAGCTGGGGCTGAACGACCAACGCTGGGAACGGGACCGGTCGTCTTTGCTGTCATGCCTTGCTTCTCCTTATCTTGTTTGTACTGCTCGAACTCGGCTGGGGTCATAACCTTGTTACGCGGAGGGTGCGCAGTTCGCTGACTGATATATCTGTGATTGTTTTTCGCGAAAGAATATGTGCGACCCTCGAACAGGTTGTCCTCCTTGTCCTTGGAGAAGCTCTCAGCAATGGTGACTGGCTTGCGAGCAATGGGGTCCTGTCGAGGTTGTCGCGTGTAAAATGTTTCGGTAGCTGACATTCCGTTGCCAGCGTGGGGGCTGTCGAGGAACTTCATGGCAGTAAATGAGTCACGAAGGAGCTTCGCATCCTCGTCATGGACAGGAGAAGGGGTGGATTTCTTGTACTCGATGGGATATGTGGGCGTTGGCGTAGTGTCTGAGCGAACCGAAGGCTCTGACACCGGAGTAGGTATGGTGTTATTCCGGGCTCCCGTGAGAGATCGGGGGTTGGAGGGAGTTTCGCGGACGGTGTCCAGACCACGGTTAGAGAACATGGCACCAAAGTCACCACCAAGATCCAGGGCCTTTTTCTCCTCCTCAACAGAGCCAGGAGTGGCAGGCGATCGGGCAGTTTCGGTTGACACGCTTGCGGAACCAGTTTGTATGGTCAATACGGGGGGCAGGTCGGGAACGGGGGGTTCGTCTCGAGGAGGCGGAATGGAATGCTTCTTCTGCCCCCCAAACGACCAAGTTCGAGGAGCTTTGAACAAGGAAGTGCTGATAGATTTTGTGGAGGTTCCACGAGCAGGTGAACCATGTTCCGGTGGCGTAGGGGCCTTACTCGCCTGGCGCGACTCAATAGGCGAGGCGGTGCCGTGCATGTCAGCAGATGAGGGTGCCGTCGATGCATTGCTGTGGCGGGACGAGTTATCGGTCGAGGTGGCCTGTGTGGTGTTGGAAAGGCCGCTGCCCCTGAGAAAGTGTGGTTAGCATCAAGAAAAGACGACAGGATATCGTTAGCTAGCCCAAGTCACTTACCGGCTGGTTTTGAAGTCAGCAAACATGTTGTCCTCAAGAGGGTCGTGGACGGGCTTGAGGAAGGTATGTGGGGGAGGTTTAGGCGCAACCATCTTGGCACCGCCATCGAAAGACCGAGTCACCGTGTGCGTGTTGCGTTCTAAAACCTTGAATGAAGGCTGGGCCGGTGCGTTTAGGTCGACATTTTCGAGGTTGTCAGCGACGGACTTGCGCCGACTGAAGGCGCCGGAGAATCGAGGCATCAGGACTCGTGACGAAGATGGAACGACTATTTGCACATAAAAATTTGGTGCAAAGAGTCGAGCAATCGAGAGCTATCGTGACCTTGGGAAGTCGGCGATTTGTTTTTTTGCTCTCCTTTTGAACCTGTCGTCGTCGTAGGCACACGGGGCGATACGAGGTCCCACAACGCGGCGTAGAGGCTATGGCGCAGCCAACGTCGAAGCGTCGGGGCCGTTTTAGGGAGGCGCTGAAGGGGCAAGAAAAAAAAAAGGTGATGCTCGCAGAAGAATGTCGCGATGTCGAAGATGGCAAATGATTCTAGAGTGAAGAAAAGAGTGTCAGTCAACGAGATGGCGGGTTCTTTCTCGCCCTAGGGCAGGCCCGGGTAAACAACCAGCCACGTCGGTGGGACGACTGGTGGTGAATTGTTCGAAAGCAGTTCGTCCGAGACAAGTGGCAGCAGTGGCGTTACGAATATGACAGAGAGGTATGCTGGTGGGGAGAAGGAGTGAAACTTACATCGACTAGCCAAAGAAGAATCTGAGACTTTAAATATAGCAATAGGCTTCGTTGGGATAATTTTCACGAAGCAAGTAGCCAAAAAGCCAAACAATATTGCGTAGATGTGTGTTGCGGTCGCACTTAATCGTGTACCGGAAGTGTTGTTGGCAGCAAGAAGCTCAGGAAAGCGAGGGGCGTGTCGGGGACTTGTTGCGTGCTCGGTTAAGGGTCTGGCCGAACCGGATTCCTTTTTTTTGTTGCCGTTTCGAGTGCAAATTCGAGCGACGAGGCAGCGAGAGGAAGCAGAAGGGATGCGGAGAGCCCAAGGGCAGAGGAGAGAAGAAGAGGTAGAAAAAAAAAGAGGGTGCAGATCGGGCAGCGCAGTGGGTAGGTGGACGAGAAAAAGCCGTTCAAAGTCCAGGGACCGTGGCGTCGAGAAGAGAAGCGGAGATATTAGCGGAGTGGACAAGGCCCTCCCTGGTATACTGGAGGCGAAACGTGAATTAAGGAAAGCGACAAGGGAAAAAGGAGAAGTGCCTCTCTGGGGGTGAAGAGGATGCGCGCCGCAACGAGTGTGGGATGAGGAGGGAAGAAGAGAAGAGAGGAAGAAAAAAGTGAAGGGGACTGCGAACGGAGCGGTTAGGGTAGCGGCAAGGGGAGGTAGAGCGGAAGCAGACAAGGCCAGAGAGGCTGGCTACCTAGCTAGCTACCAGGTAGCAAAGGCACGACGGGCAAGACAAGACAAGGCAACACGCGGACGGAGCAGCCGTGAACTGCATGGAAAACTTGGTCGCTTGCTTTGCTTTGCTTTGCTTTGCTTTACTTTGCTTTGCTTTACTCTGCTTGCTTGGTAAGGTCAGGTCAGACTGGTACCTTGAGGTCATGTAGATTGCCACGCTACCTATACCAATCCAAGCAGGGATATTGGGGGGACAGCAGCTTAGTGGTGGTGAAAAGGGGGCCAAGCAACCCGGGCTAATATTAGGTTGGTACCTTTCAGCCCAGGTACCTGCCAGGCAAAATTTAGGTATTGGACTAGTCTCTTACGGAGTTGGTTAGCACCAGAGTCAATTCAAGAACGAACTGGTATCACCGGTATGGCGGGTGGTAGGGTAGGTTAGTACGGAGCACAGTGGTGCAACAGGTTCAGCCAAGCAGGCGAAGCAGGCACGCCAGGCACCTTCAGGCGAGCCAGCCCGGACAAGGCCAGGCGGTTCCAGTTGGCTTGCTGGGGACCCAGTGGCCTGAAATAGCACCCCTACTAACCTTGGGTCTTTGTGGGTATCCGGCCGCCAGCAGACACAACCCCCTGCAAAGGATGGGGACGCTCTGGCAAGGTACTCGCCTTGCAAGTACCTGTAGACAGTTTGTCTGGTTAATTGGCAGGACATGGCTGGCGTCTCTCTGTACGTTGCCCTTTCGTCTAGCAACTCCTCCGTGTCTTCATACATATACATGTATCTGCATGTACTCCATGCGTGGGAGCTCGCATGGTTTGGCCTCCTTCCCCGGCGATAGATGAGCTGGCAACTGCGTCGCTTTTTGCCGCCGTAGGTAACAACCATTGACCTGCCGCGGTCACCGGTAACTAGCTATGTATGTTATAACACACACGTATCTGCATCAACCGCAGCCTCAAACAACAGTCCCGGCCCAGGTCGCTCGGCGCCCAGTGGGAAAACGAGAAGACGGGGGCCTCGACGGTGTTGTTGCGTTGCGTGGACGAGGTGGCTCCACCAGCCAGCGGAGAGCGGACCCGCCGGGCGGACGGGGCGCAAGCAAGCGAAGGAAGGGCAAAAGACTAACTGGGTGTATTATTACTTTGTCACCGAACCGATGCAAAGAAAATACCACGGAAGATTATTTGGGAGGGGAAAAATAATGGTTAGTTGGCTAGCGAAGAATATGGCAAAAGACCCCAGACGCAAACCAGGCTGACACTGACGACGCGAAAATAAGGACCGGTACTCTGTAATTCGTACCTCCTCTGGTATTAATACAGTAACTGGGTAACCAGCGGGCACACCGTGTCAGCCACATCCCATCCCATCATCCCAAAATAGAAGGGATCGATTCCGCATAACGCAAGATGCTGTGCCATGTCGCAGACAAGGTGCTGCCAGTAAACATCCCATACCGTGTCATGTCCTTGCGCCTCGACACGAGCCCGTGATGTCATGCCCGTATTCCGCGCCAACCACGGATACACCAAACCCGCCCATCTGTCAAGGGTTCATTAGTAAGCGCCGAGGAGGACCAGTTGCTGCCCAAAACACAGTTCGTCTTTCGAGATAATAAATCCCTTTGCTTGTATTCCAGACGAGCAAAGCAGAAGTCTTCTTTTGGGGGCCGCGGCGCCAATGCACCGCTGACTCGCTGGCTACCCGTCCGTCTGGTAAGTTTGCGTCTGCGTCTCTTCTTTTTTCTACTAGGTCGGGTCAGGTGTAGTCAGGTACCAACTTGGTCAACGCATGAGCCCGCTGTTATTAGCGCTGCGACTTGTGTACCAACGTTGACTGTTTACTATACATGAACTGCACGTACCTGCACGCTGCTTTGGATCTACCTAGACGATGGAACACCTTGCCGCACTCTTCCGGCCTCCTCAAGCTTCTCCAGCGATGCAAACGAGCTCCTGGCAGCCTCTACATCAAGCTTTCTCCTCCACCTTTGCTCGCATCCATCCATCATCCATCTGTCCAGACCATTCCGCGACCCAAGCCGCCCCCGCCGCCAACAGCGGGCCGTTCAGCTCCCCAAATCCCTCCCCCCCTCCTTTCCCGTATCTAGAGTTTATTATTGCCTTACTCAGAAGCTCTCCCTCGGCCTAAAAACGAGCTTTGTTGGGGCTGCTGAAAAAAAAAGTAGACCAGCTACAAATAGCCACATCTGACGACTGATGATAATTAAAATGAGAAATGCCACTGCCAGGGTCAGTCGAGTATAACACAACACGCGAGGTGACAAGTCACGGTATAATACGGACAATACTTACTTACATACGGCATTTGCGCATGACCTTGATTCTCTTGCCTTGGCGGGGGGGGTGTCGGAATCGCCTTGATACAAAACATGCCATGCGCCCAAGCAGAGACAGACATGTTCTGCATCATGGGTGCCATTTCCATGCATGTCTCACTATCGCCCTCCAGTTGGTTATCACATTGCAAATCCAAGGAAAGAAATCCAAAAGAACCGCCGCTTCTTTTGCTTCTTCACCTCTCTCTGCTGCCCCTGGCAGGCGTGGGATACCGCCCGGATAGCTCGGGTGGCTCTGGCTCATCACAATCATTGACCAGCCAGCGTTCCATTCCCAGATCGGCTGGCCCCCTTCTTATCCAATTTTTTTTTTTTTTTGCGCGCGCGCGCCAGGCTAAAAGATCACCACCACCAACCAGTCCGTGAACCGGGGCTGGCCGCGGGATCGCGTAGCCGAACCTAACTAGAAATCTCTTTCTTCCACCACCCTCGTCCAACCATTCTGTGTGCATCGCCTTGCTGCCTGCTGGTCAATTGAACTGGCAACGCGGCCAATGGCCCTATGGAAAAGCTTGTGTCCCCAGCTCGTCTCTACCAATGTGTCGTCTGCTGCGTACCACCTCCCCAACTTTACAGAAGCGAAGGTGTCTGTCTGTCTCTCGCTACCACCACGCGAGACAAAGTACTTGCCCAACCCTAATATCCCACCGTTACAACGTCCAACCTTGCCGTTCGCAAATACTTGTAATAACTCACCATTCATCCAATTTCTCGGTGCCCGTGCAGACACCCGTTGGCTCTCGGAGCCAGCGGACTGGCCTTGTGCGGTGTGGGGACCGCGCGAAATTGCCATCGACCTAGCTGACTAGGCTTTTGCAGCCTGAACGATGCGTGCGCCTGCTGAGCTCGTGGTATCGCACGATTTCCTCTCGTTCGTTTTTTTTTCTCTACATCGATCGTTCGGGCAAGGCTCTGTTGAGCACAAGGTCTTTCTCTCACTCCATCAGTCGCTGGGGCCCTGACACTAGCTTGTCGACCAGGGCGAGATCTTGTCGCGACGACAACCCGCACCAATCACCAGGCCAGCCTCATACCAGACAGTCGAGCCAAAACTCAAACCAAGCCTTCTCCCCTCTTTGCAGCCTTTGTGTCCTTTTTTGCTTTGTCGACATTTGGGGGCGTGTGGGCGCCTCCAGTCGTCTCCAGATGATCGGACGATGCTCACGACGATCAATGCCGCAGTGACCGAGCATTCCAGCTCCGAAGGAAGAGAAAGCCAAGCCAATTTAGCCCCATTGTCTGTGGCGTAGAGGGATGTCAATAGTCTACCGAAACCGGCAACTCGTTATTCCCGTCTCGTTGAGTTTTCCTTTGCGAACCGACTTTCACATGCCTATACCCAACCTCGTCCTACTGCCTTTGCTTGACGATTTTCTCGAGCGGGAAATTTCTACAAAGTTGTCATCGTATCGAGAAATTGAATCTCCTCCACGCCGACGCCTTTTTCTAACACAACACCATTGCATCGCGTACTTGTACTGCCACGCGCTTTCGTATCCTCCCCCACCTTAAAAGCACACGTGCTGGCCAAGCTGAGTTGTTCGTTGGGCCGTTCTTCTACCCACAGCAGTGCGTTCGATGTCATCCAGGGGAAAAGGAACAGGGGTGACAAAACGCGCGGGCAAAAAGAAAGCAGGAAAAGACAACCTTTTTTTCGCATCGCTGAATGAATGAGCTGGACACCATTGGCCCTTGGTCCACGGTGCTGGGATAGGTGGCGTTTGCATAGCTTTGCACTGCAGCTTTGGCGGGCAAGCCGCATTGCCATTGCCCAATATCCATCACCGGGCGAGCGGGCGATTCCACATGACAGGGGGGATGCCAATATTCAATTTTAAGCAAGGCAGCCACAGGGTCCTTTCCTGCATCTAATATGAAGTGGCTGAGAGCTTGCTTTTCCCATCCACTTCGCGCTCGCCTTGTCCATTGTGAAAAGCGGGCGGGCCGCTGTACGATTACTTGTAGAAACAATGCAAAACGGCTGGCTAGCGGCCTTATTATTTCTGTTGTTTCGTGGCTCTGGGCAAATACAGCGAGCGCCGCATCGAGGACCCGGGCAGTTGGCAGCGCGACGGGAACACCATTCCGCAAAAGTAGACAAGCCAGGACCAGTCACTTACTGCCCTGTGAATGAGGTAGTTGCCACGAGGCAAGTAAAACACACTCGTCGCCGTGTGTGTGGACGCGTCCCTTCGGAATGCAACTGTCGTCACAACTGTGACTCGGATACCGCATCTTTCAAGTGTGTTATGAAACTACGCAATCCGTACAAAGAAAATGATGTGTGCGCCGCAATTGGGGGATTGCATCGACGGGGCGACGGCGACGCATTCCAGTCAACGATCCGAACCGAGCCGATGATGATGCCCATCTCGAAGCATCTCCATCCCGATCACATCCTACCCCGATCAAGACGAAGCGACAGTACGATTAGCATTGCGGAGGTGTGGAGGTGTATGCAATTATGGGGATATGGTAAGAATGCACCTTCTCCGCAACCAAATATCTGCAAGAAAAAACATCGACACTGCTCTCGTTTGGCCGCTTTGTTGCGGCGCGGCGTATTGCGCGCCAAGAGACGAGGGAAAAGCCACTAAAATATTGTGTAACCCTTCAACGTCTCCGTGCGGGAGTTGCGCAGTTCAGTGTGATGAGATAGTTGACGAGCTTGCTCCGGTCTGTGGGCAGTGCCCGGTGACAAACAGTTGCCCGCAACAGGTGAGGCGGAAATAATCCCAGACACACATCGACGAGACATTGTTGGCGGGCCAGGACCCTAGCCCCAATTCCGTCCTGAATCAAATTAATCGCAGCGGCCATGCAGAGCCCCAATATCACAGGCGAGCTTTGAGGTGCGTGCATGCTTGCGACTGCCAGCTGTTGCACTTGGAGGGAATTGACAGACCAAAGACACGGGGCAACAGGTTGGACGGGCAACTGCCTTGTCGATGATATGCAGTGCAGCCAGCCGTCTTGCTGGCCGAGGCTGCGGTCCTCAACGGAAGGGTATTTTATCCTTGTGAGTTTGGGGAGATGCGGTCAGCGTGGGGCGGTTTCTTTATACATGCATCTGGGTCGCCCCAGTGCTCGTCGTTGTACGGAGTACGAGAGGCAGCCAACGCGTGGACCAGTCAAGTCGGTAACCAAGGGGGCCCTTTTCCGGTATGGCGACCCCGGTAATAAACTGGTTAATGCATCGTGTTATCCTGTTTCCTGCTTGACAAGTGGCGGACAGCTTTTCGGGCTTTTTTTTCTTCAGCAGCGTGCTGATCACGGTTCCAAAAGTCCCAGCCCGGGTCTCCAGGTGAAACAGCCCGGCGTGGCAGCCCGGCGTTCACCGCCGTAGAATAGCACCGTGCTGATACTCGAGGGGAACCAAAAAGATTTAAGGTTATACTCCGTAAGGTGCGATTGTGTGACTGTTGCGAGCGGCTGATACAGACTTGGGGGTATGCGAACAGGAGCGAGACCCGCCGCGGGGATCCGGTTCTTAGTGATGATGGCGATGGCGTTGAGGACGCAGCCACTTTTTCTTCTGTCGTCATTTGTTTGCCATGGGTTGTTGTGTCGGTGAAAACCTCCTGGCCTCATGCGTCGGTGGCCTCCCTCGTTCGCATTTTGCGCCATTCCGCGCACCGCACGGCAATTTGGCGAGCCGAGCCCACAATGAGCAGAGGGAGAGGGAGGAGAGGCTGGACCCTATCTGCACGACATGACACGACAACGATCAAGACTCAGACTCGCAGTAGCCTGCATGCAAAGGAATAGCACACGTCCTTTCACCTGCCGGGGCCGAGCTTTAAAGGCTGCTAGACTGGAAGCGGCATCGCGGTGGCTTTTGCTGATGCAATCTGGGCGGGTTGAAGGCTGGCAGATGAGCCAAGCAGCGGCGCCCATCAAGGCCGGCGAAAGGGATAGCGCTGGACCCTTGTTGACGGAGTTGACCCTTGTTAGTTCCGTCGATGACCAAGATGGCGTTTTTGCGAGGATGCAGCTGACTCGGTGGGTGGGATGATGGCGATGGTAGAGAGGAGATTTCTTACCATCTGTTGCAGGACTGACAAAAGAAGAGAAAAGCCAAGGAGGAAGGAACGAGGGCCAAGGCGATGATGGATGGGTAGTGCGGGGGTTGGGCTCTGCATAAAGATGCATGCATAAGTGAGTTGGCAAGTTGCTGACGATGTGAATAGAAGCAGGATTGAACAGAGGTTGACTGGCTGGCAGAGGAATGATCAAGGTGCTACAGAGTCCTCTGTAGGTACCTCGCTCGGCACTCGTATAGAGAGAGTGCCAGTACGCAAGGCTGGATGTCTTCTGCTAATCTTGTTGGCAAGATTTACCGTAGAAAACCCTTTTAAAAAAAAAATACTGCATATCGGTTTTCGAGTCCATGTCTTTTTTTACATTATAGATATCCGAATAGATTAAAAAGAAAACCGCCGTAGGGAGTGTCCAAGCGTCAACAAGCCAAGACCGGTCCTGCGGGGGCGAGGCAGCCGGCTGAACGCAACCATCCCAGTCAGCCAGTCAGAATATTTTACCACCACCACTGATTGACCTGCTCGTACCAACGAGCCAAGCACAAATAATCGCTCGGCATCCCTCCCCCATTGTCAATTCATTTTCAATTCTATCGGGCTCATCACCAAAGACGTTTTTGCGTACGGCACGACATCAACACGCCTCCGCGCTTCCTGTCTTGTCTGACCAATAGCTTCTTGGTCTTGGTTGCTTTGCTCTCTCCATCACCCGCGGATCTCTCCAATATCGCTTCTCCCTAGCTCCCATCGCCACATCGAGGACCACTGCTTCGCGCGTCTCTTCTCTAGCACCGCCTCTCCCCGTCATTCCCTCAGCCCTACTCTGCTTCTGCTTGCGCCTGCTTGCTCGAGTGGTCTCCCTTGAGGGCGCTTATTCACTCCTCATGAGCTCCCCCAGCCCGCGTCCGCCGCAGCATGGCCGCCGGCCCTCGCTGGTCCAACAAGAGGACGGCCTCTACCACTCGGCCGTGCCAACGCGCACCGGCATGCTCACCTCAATGATGCGCTCCCGCTCCCAGCAGAGCTTGCACGCGACCTGGCGCAACCACTATGCCTCCGACGACGACGAGCCCGTCCGCGGACGCTCCCGCGGCCACCCGCCCGAGGATGACGAGCTCGAGCGCCTCCTCCACGACGAGAATCGTCTGAGCCAGATTCTTCACGGACCACAGAACCGCAGCATGAACCTCATTGGCAAGAGCAACCCGAGATATCGTTGGGACTCGTACTGGAAGTCCGAGGAGGAGCTGCAGGGCATGTCGAGAAAACTGTAAGTTACCTACCTACCTATCCAAGACATGCAGCTCTACCACGCGTCACGCAAATGCACTCTGTACCTGTCTCATGCTTCTGGCCGATTGCCTTGCGATCTATATTGCCTCCCGCCCCCTCTCCCTCCCCCAAGTTGACCCTTGTCTTACTAAACCGTCTTTGCCAAGGCGCGAATACTACGAGCGCACGAATGACCTCATCCAGCAGTACATGTACATTGACTGCCTGCTCGATTCCACCATCCCCCACGAGCTTCTCAACGAGTACAACGCTGAGCTGGAGGCCTCGGCCTTTCGTGGCGTCGACATCCCCAACACCATCTCCGAAGAGCCCGACTCGTCGTCCCTCTCCGGTTCTGTCACCGAGCGCTTCAACGGCGGCGCGTCGTACGGCTCGACAAACACCCTGCCTCCTGCAGTGCCCCCCGAGAATGTTAACAAGACCCCGCCACTGCCTGCCAAGCGCACGCCCAAGGACATTTTCCGCTCCTCTGAGAACCTGACCATGCTGCCACAGAACCAGGCGGCGGAGGAGGAGGACGGAGAGATCTTCCACGCCTTGTCGGACGAGAGACGGCCTTTGCTAAAGCCGAACTCAAAAGATCTTGAGAACGGCCCCCGGCCTCTTCTCCCCTGGCTCGAAGATGGAGAGGTTGACAGCGATGACCCCATCGTCACCCTCGCCATCTACGTCAACCTTATTGCCAACGTTGTGCTTCTCGTCGGTAAAATCATTGTCATCATCTCGGTTCCCTCCATGTCCGTCCTGGCCTCTCTGGTCGATGCCGTCTTGGACTTCTTGAGTACTGCCATTGTCTGGACCACTACCCGCCTCATTGCCTCGAGTGCAAGTGACCATCACCGGTATCCTGTCGGACGCACTCGGTATGTTGCTGGACCTTCCCTGTTACCCTACCCTACGTGACCATGCCTCTCGCGCACTTGATACCCTTCCAGCGCTAACAACCCCTGCTTCACCATAGCCTCGAGCCTCTGGGCGTTCTTGTCTTTTCCGTCATCATGGTCACTTCGTTCTGCCAAGTCGCTCTCACGTGTATACAGCGTCTCATGGGCAATGAGCACGAACTAATTGAACTGGGCGTGCCAGCTATTACCATCATGGCCTCTACCGTCGTGATCAAAGGCGCATGCTGGGTCTGGTGTCGAATGGTCAGAAACTCTAGCGTCCGAGCCCTGTAAGTCGCCTCACACGGGCTCAGCCGGCCCTGCGTTGATTGGAACGCGATATTAACACTTGATGCAGTGCTGAAGACGCCAAGACGGATGTCATTTTCAACATTGGCTCTATCTTATTCCCCATCAGTAAGTAGCTACACCACACCGAATTGATAAGTTCCTCCCAAAAATCCCCCCAGCTCGCTGACGCCCTGACTTCAGTCGGTTTCTACGGCAAGGTCTGGTGGCTCGACGCCACCGGTGGCCTGTTACTCTCCCTCGTTGTCGTCTTCACCTGGAGCCACACGTCAGCCCATCACGTCCGCAACCTGACGGGCTTCGGCGCCGAGCCGGACGAGCGCAACCTGCTACTCTACCTGACGATGCGCTTCGCCACCGCCATCCGCAAGATCCAGAACCTGCGCGCCTACCACGCCGGCGACAAGCTCTTCGTCGAGGTCGACATTGTCCTCTCCGCCATCACCCCGCTCAAGGACTCCCACGACCTGAGCGAGGTCCTCACCTACTTCCTCGAGTCGGTGCCCATCGTCGACCGCGCCTTTGTGCACGTCGACTACACGAGCTACAACGCGCCGACTCACATGCTCAAGCAGTCTTCCTCGTAAGACGGGAGCGCTGCAACGTAAGCATCACCGTAGCGATAAGCGAGTGATTTGTATTCATTTGCCCCCGGCTGAACTTTGCACGGGCATTTCATTTCTTGCTTTGTTTTAGTATATATTGAACTACCTTTTTCTGGATATTTATCGGGGCACAAAAATGCGAGGAGTTTGAAAAGCACAAAAAGAACAGGAGACTTGAACTAGAGGGCTGGCGTTGTTGGATAGATGGCACTTACATAGTTTGGTATATTCGATCGAAAAAGTACAGTACTTGAAAAAAAGAGACTACAGAATTAAACACGTACAAACTTAAATTACAGTTCACTTGCAAGTAATAAACGGGATCGATTTAAGATAACTGCTATACTAATTATACGGGTTCAAGGGGATTGATTGGTCCTACAGAAGAGGGAATTTGCCAGAAGGAGGGAGTCCGACAAGCAGGAAGGAGGAGAATAGGTTGCGAGCAAAACGAGACCCGGGGTTAGCCAGCCTAGAAAGGAATGCCGTTCGTCATGAGCTGGAACTGGTCATAGATGCCCGTGCTGTAGCTCGCGTACGACTTCTTGACCAGGTCGCGCATGAAGTCGGCGGCCTCGCGCTCCGTCTTGTCGAGGACGAAGCGGTCCTTGAAGTGGCGCACCGACTCGGGCTTGAAGCAGGGCAGGCCGCTGCCCATCATGAGCTGGACCACATGCGCGAGACGATCTCGGTACTGCCGCGCGGCGAGGAAGGCGCGGACGCACAGGGCCTCGAAGGCGTGGAAGCTCTGGTGGTCGGTGGTGCCGCCCATGACGGCCACCATCTCGGCCGTCAGCTTAAAGGGCGCGCGCTCAAACTTGATGCCGCCGGGCGCGATGTCGAAGCAGAAGCCGAAATCGATGTGCAGGATGTGGCCCGCGTCGTCGATCATGATGTTGCCGTTGTGCCGGTCCTTGAACTGCAGCAGGAAGGAGATGACCGAGTAGGCGGCCATGGACTTGACAAAGTTGCTGCGCGCCGCCTGGAACCGCAGCGAGTCCTCGTTGCCGTACTTGGCGCGGAAGTACTCGTACAGGCCGTTGACCGCCTCGCGGCCGACCATGTCGCGCGAGATGGAGTTGGGAAGCACATCGATGACACCGCACCCGGGACCCGTGGCCGTCACCCGGTTCGGGAAGACGTACACGTCCAGGCCGACGTTGTGGAAGATGCTGCGAAACACGGAAATCATCTGCAGCGCGAGCACGTCCTGGCGCACGTCGTCGCCGACCTTGAAGATGGCCGACTGCCAGACTTCAATGTAGTTGTCCTGCGCATCGGCAGCCTGCTGAAGCGTCGGCGCATGTTTCTTGACCACTTGCATTTCCTCCTCCTCGTCCGCCGCCGTGTCGCCCGCGTGCTTGGTCTTGCGGACGCGGAACGTTGCCATGTAGGGCGCTTTGGCGTGACTCTGCAGAGGCTTACCCGACTTGCGATCAATGCCAATAACAACACCCTCGGGGTTACTCGGCAGGTATACGCCGACTTCCACCTTGATCTTCATCAGCTCCTCCTCAATTTTTTGCTTCTTTTCGGGCTTGGTTTTCTTAATGTATGGCTTGAGCTTGCCAGAGATGCCAGTGACCTCATCAAAGAAGGAAAATTCACGCTCGTAAAATTCGCGGTCCTCGGGCATGAAGCTGTCCACCATCTTGGTCATGACAGTGTCAAGCGTGGGCTTGATCTCGTCCGGAACCTCGGCATCATCACCCTTGTACGAGTTGGCCTTCATGTTCCAGATAATTTGGTGGGCAAAGAGCTGTGAGAACTGCGCCGTCTCGAGGATGTAGCGCTCAGCATAGCCAAGATTATCGTGACGAAGCGACTGCACAATCTGAGGCACGTAGAAGAATGTGACGTCCACAGAATGGCTTTCTAGCGAGCGCATGGCGTACTGGATGATGAAGGGGTGGTCTCTAAAAGCAGGCGAGAGAAGAGTCACTGAAGTGATGGGGTTGACCGGCTCCCAGAACAAGAGATATCTGAGCTGCGAGTTGACATCGTCAGGAAGCTGGCTGCCAATCATGAGCGGGATCGCCTCTGGCTCATTAATGACCTTTTCCGGCGAAGCGAGAATCAGGCGACGAATATCGCTGCGAAGCCGATGATAGTGAAATCGAGTAGCCAACTCAACGGCAATGGCAGGGTCCTGGTACCAAGCTGTTCGCACCAGTGGGAGGAGAGCACTCTCAGCTGCATGCTTAGAATGATGGTGACTTAGGAAGTGACTTCCTTGCGAGTTCCGGGGATTTGCCCAAACAATAAGGCGAGATTGCTCGTTCTCAAGGAGCAGTCTCAGCAAGGCTTCCTTGGCTTGCAGAGAAGTGGTTTTGCCGACTGTCTGTGTGCCGATATGCGACATCAGGCTCAATGAGGTAATGACATCAGCGAGGAGGCTGATCTCCGTCTTGAGAGACAGCATGTTGCTGCCAAAAGACCAGCGCGGCGAGTGGCGGAACCAGCTGAGGCCAGCAGATAAGATTCGGTCCTTGAGTCTGTATTGAGCAGCAGTACCGATGGTTGTGCTGTTTCGCAGTACCTTGATACTAAACAGGATGATCTGGAACCGAATCTCGCGGGCCATTGGGTGTGGGCTACAGTCCTTGAGTGCGTCAAGCGTGAGATCCAAGAGGCGCAAGAAGACTCTCTGGATATCGGGACTGCCCAGGCGAGTGGCGTTGAAGTGGCTAGCAAAGAACTTGATCAATCGGGTATGAGGAGAAAGGGTATCATGAACTTTCTGCTTTTGCTGGCTGATCATGTCCCAATCGCTCGGGGAAAATTCTTGCTTCACGAAGAATGGATCGGGATGTTCCAATGAGGGGTCGAAGAGGCCAACGCGGCGAGAGATGGTAAACTCCCACTGCTGAGCAATAGCGTTGAGCAGCTTCGACTCAAGGCGAGGGTTCTCATTCATGACGCCGAGCCAGAGAGAAGCTCCTAGCTTGATCGACTGCTTAGTGAAGAGAGCAAAGGGAATGCTCACAAGGTGACGGGCAACTGCAGACTCGTCATGCTTGCTACGGCACAGGAGTGCTGCAGCCCTGCGCAGAATGTCGCGGACTTCGTCGATGGAGGTCGCCTTCCTGCTGAGAATGCGAGCCTCAACATGGGCGAGAGCAGTTGCGGCATTGGCGCTCTCCACCACAGAGGACTGGGAGAACGAGGGTCTGCGGTTGTGCTGCATGAAGCTCATCAGCTCAGTGCCGCGATCGGGAAGCGTCTCGCCGTAGCGATACTCCTGGCGAGTGGTATACTGGGCAATAAGATCTGAGGCCGAGTTGATCTTGTACTCGCTGACTTGGTCGAGAGATTGGAGGCGGTTGTCGGTACTGGGGATGGTTGATCCAAGTTCCAGGGCAAAGGAACGGCCCAGAGAAATGTGACCGTAAGCACCTTCGTCGTCAAACTCGGACAAATACGTCTGCAGTAAGCCCTTGACGTCGAGTGGCGCGAGATTGATGGCTTCTTTAACCCAGGTCCCAGCCTTTTGATGGAGGTTCCTCAAGGTTGAGCTGCGGAACTTGTAGTCATCCGAAAGCCTCACTGTCACGTTGCCACGTTCAGATGTAAATGTAGATCTGAGGCCGTACATGTCCGTCTCGGCTTCCAGGCAGCTAGACCACATCAGAGAAAGCAGTTCGAGCAGGGCAAAGAGCGAGGTGCGGTAGCAGAGTGAAGAAGGAATCTCCCGGACGACCTTGTCAGCCGACAGGAATGCAGCCTTCTGAACACGCTCGATGCGATGGCAGCATAACGAGAAGATCGTGACAAGCTGTTCAGCAGCGTACTGCGCCGAGAACGCAGAGTCGGTCCCGCTGATAGTCTTCTTGATATATTTGTCGACTACCGCGTTGGCAATTCCGTCCATAACACTACACACCTCCCTCTGCAGCATGCTGCGTTCAGCAAAGTAAGATACGACCTTGGTACAGTCTCCAGCATCTGCGCGCAGGATCTCAACGAGATAAGCGGAGTGCAAGAAGATGACTTTACGGTAGCTGAGGCTCTTAATCTCCGAGGCCTTGCTGGGGATAAGATCACTCAGAAGCTTCTTCTGCAAAGACTCCCTATCGCTGCTGTTGCCGCGGCGCAGGACTGTGTTGAGCTCGATGTCGCTCTCGACTTGTTCACCGCGCTGTTCGGCAGCTAGCGGAGGTGAATGGATGGCAATCATTCGCAACTCGTTCAAATATCTCTTGCCTCTTTCTGTCGAGGTGGAGAAGCCATGAACAACAATGTTGAACCACGCATCTCTAAGCAAGGCGTAGGATTCGTCATTCGCCAGGGGCTGGGAGGCGAGGTCATTAGTCGACATGAGTACAGCTAGAGGGTGGAGTAGCTCTCCAATCTCCTGCGCAGCCAGGTCAACGTCGACCTGTCTTGTCTGACCCTGCGAGTATGCGTCCCCAAGAGCAATGATACTGTCGAGTAGATGCTCCCAGTAAATATCAAAAAGCGGCGAATCGCGGCGAAGGTTTGCAGAAATGTGAGTTCGGCATTGAGAAACAGCTTGGCAAAGGAAGTCTTTCCGCTTAACCACACCAAAATGGCCTTGTCGGTTGTACACCTTGAGGAGGGATCGGAACGCCTGGTGGCCGCCGCTGAGAGCCAATTCAGCGGCACCGGTAAGGACTTGCACATCAACAGTAGCGTTCACCTTTTCCAACTTTTGGAGAAGGATTGTCTGTGCGAGAGTCGTAATTTGTTCATCCTCACAGTGTTTGGCAATGCTGGAGATCGCTTGCACGACATTGCGATACACAATAGCCGCCTCCTCCTCCCCGTTCACAGCAACGGAAATGGAGCTAGCGTTTGAGTGACGACGCTGATAAACAGGATTCAATGCGGTCTCTCCGTCAACAGAGCCATTCACATGGCCATTAGCAAGTCTCTCTTCGGTATCGGGGCTGAGAACGTTGCCAAGCGAGTAAAGGGTGCTGATAACAGCATCCTTGGAAAGTTTCTTGAGCACAAAAGCAAGGCTTCTGGAAGCGACGGCACCGATGTTTGCATCCTGAACATCCTGGACAATAAATCTAGGTAGGGATCTAATCAAAGTCTGCGAGAACGAGGGAGCCATGCGGCTAAGAAGAGCCATGCAGCGAAGGGTCGTGGAAGCAAGAGTTTCGTCACTCATCTGTTGAGGATCATCCAAGGTCTGCTGCAGCCAGTTCATCAGGAGCTCAGGCTCGGCGGCATCTTCATTCAGCAAGGTGCAGTTTAGGAAGGAAATCATAGCAGCGGACTTGACAGCGTTAGCAAGCTTTTGCTGCGAAGGAGAGCCAAGACGAGCAAAGTCAGCGCCGGCTTCAATGTAGTTCATTTGGTCGATGGCAAAGTTGGCGTGGAGGTCAATCGATCGCAGGTCAACATCACCAGCAAAGACATCGGCTCGGAACAGAACACCGCCATTGTCCATGAGCACATCGAGGACGTGCTTCTTACGCAGCTCAGATCCATCAGTGATCATCAGGGATGTGCTGGAAAGGACAAGCCACATGAAGCTTCGCTGCAGGAGCATGGCGCCAAGCGGACGACCAGCGGCGGAATAGTGGCGCAAATGACGCTTCCATTCCCGCACGTCGCGGTCGTCGGTATGGGCGTTGCGGATTGTCGACAAGGCTGTCTCGACAGCGACCAGGAAGGGCTCAGACAGCAACTGCTTGGCCTTTTGGATCAAGCCCAGGCGGCCGCCAGCCTTCCAAAAATCGGCCTGCGCGGCTGCGGCGTCGAGGAAACCGAGGATGGCGACGGCGATGTTGAGTGTGCGAACGGCCTCGTCAATGTTGAGGTTCCCTGGGTCGCCGGTACGAGGAGAGAGGACGCTTTCGGTGGTGCGACTGCAGGCATTAGTGAACGCCCAGATGCCGTCGGTGACGGTCTCCTTCAATTCGGTGTAGTTGATTCCGAGAGAGAGCAGCGCAGCAGTGACGTGGAAAGACAGTGACTCGGTCGGACAGGGGTTGATTCGGCGAAAGAACGGGGAGGGGACAAAGGTCTGTGAGTGCGCCTCGAGGATGTACGGGATGAGCTGGTAGGAGAGCTTCTGGGCGCTCTGAGCGGACAGAATATTGGGCGCATTTTTGCAAAGGGCTAGGAGGACCTCGAATTCGCGGATCGACTACGCCTGTTAGCGATGGGAGAGCATCGTGAAGCCGGAGCAGCATTACCATGGGAATGCGGCCCAGTGAGCTGGACTGCTTCGAATTGTAGGCGCCATGGTTGTATTCGCGGTTACGGCCACTGACATTGCAAGCTCGGCACAGCCTGTCAAGGTCGGACTTGTCAAAGGAGGTGTTGGTCGACGACGCTGCCAGGGAGGCAATCTTGTCCAGCGCTCGCGCGCGAATGTCGCCCGTCATGATGTATTACTTGTAGCCGAACGTAGCAGGCGGGCAGACAAGACAATGACAGGATGGCAATAGCAAGCGTAGGGGGGTCGTTGGCGACCAGGAAGATGTGTCTGCGGAGACGTTCAGATGAAGAAATTCGTTGCCGAGGTCACAGATGCCAAAATCGACGCCCAGACATTTGTGGCGTCGTATGGGCAGCCAGGGGGATGCTACCTCGTCTCCAGCTAATGAGCGGATAGCCGTGCGAACCAAGCAGCCTAGTTCGGTCGGTCGGTTGGGGATGAGTGGAAAAGGAGAGCTTCCCCAAGGTCCCTCCGAGAGTGCGGGGCTTAGTCATTTACTGGTCGGTGTGGCTGGTTGGTGGACTTGCCCAGGCTGCTGGTTTTGCTGTGGCTGGGCTGGCAACTATGTACATAGGTACCAACTGTGGCGCTCCCTTCTGTGGCAAGGCTCCAGCTGTACGCGTGCGCTAAGCCAGAGCAACCTCCAAGCCGTGCTGAGCAAGCTCTCCTGCCTGCCAACACAGTCTCATCCCATCACCAAGTTCATCGAATCTACCCACGCAACACCTCGATCACGACCGGCCAGCATCGTCTATAGCTAAAAAGGGCTTCGGCATCCGCACACACAGTCACAATGGCCATGTTCAGCCAAAACCCGGTCCTGAATGGCCCCAACTATTCGTTGTCTGACGTCCCCAGACAAGCTGGCGCGCCCCGCGAGCACCGCTTCAACCCGTACGAGACTCCATCAAGCTTTAGGGGATCTTCCCGCTGACTCTCCCCTCTCTTTCTGCAGATATACCGACAACGGCGGCTCGACCCTGGGCATCGCCGGCGCCGACTTCACCATCATGGCCGGCGACACGCGGCACACGAGCGGCTACAGCATCAACTCGCGCATGGCGCCCAAGGTCTTCAAGATTGGCGGCACCAACGCCTCGCAGGATGATGCCACCATCGTGCTCTCCGTGTGCGGCTTCGCCGCTGACGGCGACGCCCTGCGCGACCGCCTCGACACCGTGTGCAAGATCTACCGCCACCGCCACGGCAAGCCGATGACGCTCAACGCCTGCGCCAAGCGCCTGTCGACCATCCTCTACGGCAAGCGCTTCTTCCCCTACTACACGCACGCGCTGCTCGGCGGCCTCGACGAGGAGGGGCGCGGCGCCGTCTACTCGTACGACCCGGTCGGCAGCTACGAGCGCGAGCAGTGCCGCGCCGGCGGCGCCGCGGCCAGCCTCATCATGCCCTTCCTCGACAACCAGGTCAACTTCCACAACCAGTATGTGCCCGGCAGCGGCGAGGGCCACGACCTCCAGGAGCGCCCGCGGAAGCCCCTCGATCGCCCGACGGTCGAGACCATCATCAAGGACGCGTTCGACGGCGCGGCCGAGCGCCACATTGAGGTCGGCGACTCGCTCCAGATGCTCATCGTCTCCAAGGACGGCATCGAGGAGGTTTTTGTGCCGCTCAAGAAGGACTAAGGGGATCGAGATGCACGTGTATAATAGCTACGCATTAGATACGTCTAATAACAGTTGATGATTGGGAGTTATGCATGGCTTGGTGATGCACATCCACCTCCGGTTGACATTCTGCAGGTACCGTGCCATTACCGTACAGCTCGATTTTGGCTTAAGTTGCGATTTTCTCAACGCTGCGCTCATCCAGGCGTTTTGTCGGTCGACCAAGGCCATTGGGGAAGGTCTATTTGCAATCCTGAAACTGCTCCATGTGATTGCGGAATTTCTGAGCGCCGAGGTTGGCATGTTGGTTCATTTTGAAAGTTGAACATCAGACGAGCTCATTCCATACACCAAATTGACGTGAATTGTGTTGCCGTCCTTGGCATCGTCAGCATCAGAAACCAGCTCTCAGGGCCACGACCGCGGCGACAGGTTATCATTCCGGAGCACGGACATCTCGGTGATCAAATTACGTCCTCTTGATCACGATCGACTTTCGTCCAACAACTCCTCGGCACCGCTATCCGGCGTTGGCACTCCTTACTACTTCTTCTTCTTCTTCTTCTTCTTCTTCTTCTTCTTCTTCCGCCCTTGGCCGGACACCGTCCTTGCGCGCCACATGCCGAACGGACAGTGTCCGTTGGGGCGCGCCGGTGTGCTGAAGCCATTCACGCTGCCCAAAAAGATTCCAACGTCCATGTTGCATCGTGCGGTGCGGCCAAGTCCGCGCAGCATGCTGATCTTGAAAAGGGATCGGACTGGGTTGCTTCTGCGAGTCAACCAACCTACCCGATACCAAAAGAAGCACGGGCTGCTTCAAAATGCAGCACAGCGCCGATTCCGACATTCAGCACGATCTCGTGCAGACGTTATTTCAAATTTCAAACGAACAACCGGCCATCGCGCGTTTTTTCGGACAAGGTGTGCGACTCAGGACGCCAGGCTCATGTGGCTTTTTGTTTCCTAATTAAGCGGCGCACTGTTGGCGGTGGGTTAGACTGCAGCCCAGCCCAGGAACCTTGTCTTCAGCGGAAAAAGCCTCCTCGGGCGAGGTGCCTGCTAACAGGAGCACGCACGGCAGCATGTCCCGTCGCGGTCCCTGCTGTTAGAAACCAAGGCCGGAATTCGCCACCAGCAGGGTCCCAAAGCAGACTGCCGCGTTAAGCTTTCCCCCCCTTCTATGCCCCTTCTCTTCTGCTGCATACACCCGTATCAAACCAAAGGGGCGGCCGCACAAGGTCTGACTTGAACGGGGCCGGCGGCCAAAAGTGGGGCCGGAGCCAATGCCTTGCGTACCGACGTCAACCTTGGCCTTTTCAACCCTTGGTTCTAACGTTAGTGGGCTTGCAGGTGGGCTATGTACCAGTACATAACTGTCCGTCATATTGCTTTTCGTTTCTAGTTATTGCTTCTCGGTGTGAGTCGGCTTCTTGAATGCAGAACAGACGGCGAAGGGCCGAAGAGTCCACGGTACGGTGTGGAGAAGGGCATCTGCCAAAAGAAAAGAAGAAAGAGTTGGCGAAAAGGAAGCCCTTCTGCATGCCCTGCTGCATGCCCTGCTGCATGTCTGGTCCTGCATCCAAGGTCAATTAGCAGCCAGGGTTCACCGACACGCACATACTTTGTCAGTATCAGTTGTTGTGGCAGCTTCTGTGGCTTGACACTTGGTGTGGCTCAAGCGTTCGGTCCGATACAAGGTAATTGCGTAATGGTGACTCAATGGAACGAAAATGCCGGGTGTGGCGGTGCAGTACATAGGAATTATCGGAAATCAGATCGAAATCTTGAAATCTTGATTTTGAATTGAATTTTTCCCAGTCCTGGGGCAGGATTTCGGGGTCCTGGATGTTAGGGTTAGGAGCGAAAAAGTCAATGTCGTCATATCGCGAGTGTCGAGAGGAGGGGGCGTGGGTCAAATACAGGCACGTATATACTTGTGGAGCTGCATCGAATTGCCTGGGTGTGTTCAGATGGATGTGAAGGAACCTCGCAGTGCTCCTGCTAGTTAATAGAAAAAACTAGTTAATAATTTGGCCTTTATTATTATCGGTGGGACTGTTGTGGTTCCTTCTCCCTGTGTGGCGATTCTTGGCTGCCGTGTCTCTCTGACACGCATACACTTGCAAGTTTGTTCACCATGAGCAACAGACTATTTGCTGTCCTGCGCTGGGGCAATGAATCAAAGCGCGGCGCAACGTCGATCAATTGCCGACTTTGGGTAACCTGAGCATTTGTCAGTTTGCTGCCCTCTTTCCACTTGCTGGGTCGGTCGGGCTGGCCATCTGCCCAGCTTCATTCTGCCCTTCTATCAAATCCTGGGCTTGCTTTGTTGGCTCGGGGCTACGTACCGGAGCATTCGTTCCGGCGCGACTGGGTACGGCGTTGAGCGCCGTTTTGTATTTTTTTTTTTTTTGGCGCGCTCAGAATTTCGTTTGTTGGTAGAATCTGGCAATAATCGGCAAACGACCAAGCCCTGGCCGAGGTGTCCTCAAAAAATTCAAAAGTAAGTTTCAAGGGTCCAATCCTCTCTGTATTGGAGGGGGCGTGCAGGTTTGTCGTCCCCAGTGTGTGCGCGTCTATGTTGTGTGGCAGTTTGTCCCAGCAGCTCCCAGACCACGCGCCAAAGCCTCGCTGTCAGCCCGCTGCAGGCTCGTTGCATTCGCTGGCACAGCGTAACACGTCCATTATAGACTTGGTGAGAAGTTATGGCTTGATGCGACGATGCAAATCATTTTTCAGATGGCTTGAGCGACGATGATATCATGATCGACGCGTTGACACCTCCTAGTCTGCATCGGACAATGGGCGACATGCACCTTTGTCTATTTTGACGGCCCAAAGATGATGGGAAAGCTCGAATCCCGTTTTTTTGTGTAGTCAGGAGCTACTGTACGTACCTCTGCTCACACACATACAGGTAGGTACTGCTGCAGTTGCCTTGGCAGCCAGTGTAAGCCAGCGTCACGGAGGACGGCAGCCCCAACCACGGGAGTCGCCTTGCTCTCTGCATGAGGCCACGAGACGCTATTTATTATTAGCGACAAGAGCAAGTCAATACACATGTTAGTCGCCGCGACTGTCCGTCATGCAACCGCCAAGGCACGACACTTGGGGGTTGCAGTGCCCATGACCAGCTGTGGTGTCACAGGGAACATGCTGCAAAGTTGGGCTGTCGGCAGAGGACTACGTCAGGTAACTGATAACTGAAAGGGCACTGGGATCAGTGCCAGCGAAAGAAACTCGTGGAAGGGTGACTGGTGCCCAGGATTCGTTAGCTATGAAGGGCCCGCCCGGCCCCTGTTGTTCCCATGCAGTGTCTTGTTGTTATGCAGCTTCAGCCACACCAGTCTGTTTCTCTGCAAACATTGTGGTTCATATTATTAGTCCTGCAGCTTTGTAAAACGTCACTGGGTCATCGATGGCTCAGATGCTGTATAAATGGAAAGCCTCGGTCGATGATGGAAGAGCATCGAATCTCGGCACGTCAAGGGAGCGTCGGCGCTCCGGCACCCTCGTTTTCTGGGTTTTCTGGGCATTTCCTGTGCAAGGCACAAGCTGTCAAACATGAAATTCTTTGACCACCCTCCATGTATTCGTAGAGCCCAAACAGGGCAACCAGGTGTCTGCCATCTGCCGCGTTGTACCTCTGCTCTCTCCCGAAGACGCCTGCTGAAAGACTCAGCCACAGCAAAGGTTAGCCACCCAGTGTTCTAGACGGTAAAAAGCTGGAAAGTCGCCACCCGTGCGCCCTGTAAATTTGGGGTCGACAAGTACGAAGGTACATTGGTATGTAGGTATGTAGGTCAACTACGGAGTCCTTGCAACCGCTTTCACTCTCCCCCCGGGCAGCCCGCAGGTGTGTCTCGATCAAAAGGTATATTCGACGGAACCGAGATAGTAATGGTCAGAAATCAAAAGATTCTAGGGC